ACATCTTTGGCCACGAGTAGATAATAAGTTTTTGATTCAGTCTCAGCTAATCATGTAAGAGTGGAAGCTCTCATTGGTGATTTCTTTTCAGGCAGGCTACCATTTGTACACAAGGTACAAAACCACACACTTGTAAATAACAAGCACACAAACATGCTTTTCTCTTCTCACCTAAAAAGCACTTCTCTCTCCAGGCATTTCCCCATTTCCCTGCTTTTCTTTACATCAGAACTCCTCAGATGAGATGACTTCATTCAGATTTCTCCTGTTCTCTTCAACTCTAATATGGCTTTTGCCCCATGCTCTAGGAAATGACTAAAGACCTCCACCTTGGTACCTTGTTAGCCTTGTGAAATCCAATGGTGCATTCTCGTCCCTTTGCACTTACCTTCTCAGTGGCATGTGACACCAGTGGGCTCTCTTTTTCTCGACAGCACTGGCTTCACTGATTTCCAAAACACAACAGTCTCCTGGCTCTGCTTCCACCTCATAGGTCTCTTCTCCTCAGTGGCCATTGTTGGTTGCGCCTCTTCTCCTCCACTCTCTAGCTGGGGTGGCCCTCCAATAGGTCCTGGGAAACTCTTCTCCATCCACACTCACTCCCTTCCCAGTGGGGGCTAGGCTCTCTGACTCTATAGACAGTGCGCCATCTACATGCTAATAATTCCCAATCCATGTTTGCAGCTAAGGCATTTCCCTAACTCCAGCCAGCCTACCTCACTCTACAGTGCTGTTGGCAGGTCTAGCAGACATCTCAGACACAACCATTCAAGCAGCCCTCTCGATCTTCCCCTCCACACCTGCTTCAGCTCTAGACGTCCCCATTTTACTTTATGGCAACTCCACCTTCCCAGTAGCTCAGAACAAAAATTCTGAAGTCTTCTTTGACTCCTCTCTTGAACACTGCACACCCAATCAACAGGAGATTTCTACCTGCCTTAACTTCAAAACAGATCAGAATTCACCCACTTCGCACTGCCCCGTAGGTCCAAGCTGCCATCCTCTCCAGCCTGAATCACTGCAATTTCCTCCTAATCTTTCGACTTCCACCCTGGCTCCTGTTCATTCTGTTCCCCACACAGTCGCCAAAGTGATCCTATTCAGGCACATCAGATCATGTCACTCCTCCTCTCATGATAAGGAGGCCTAGATGGCTCCTTATCTCACTCAAGGTAAGGGGCAGAGTCCATACAGTGACCCATAGCCCCTCAAAGTTTTGTCCTCCACTATTTTTCTGACCTCATTTCCTTCTGTGCTTCCCTCACTCACTTCTCTCCAGCTACACTGGCCTTCCAGCCTTCTCCAAATATCTTCATGGCTAACACCCTGACCCTCCTTCAAGTCTTTGCTTGAAGTGCCACCTTCTCACAATGCACACATACCCAATTCACACTCCCTACCTCCAACCATCAACTTTTTTATATCATTTTCTAATATATTACATATCTTATTTATTAAAGCTGTAATTATTACTTAAATCTGTCTCCTCTAACTAGAATGTAAGTTCCATAAGGGCAGAGATTTTTGTCTGTTTTGCTCACTGATTTATTCCCAGTATCTAGGTGTTTAATATATATATTTTTAAATGAATGAATAAATTGTAACCTCCATAACTCTACCAGCCCTGAGAGTCTGTGCCTTAAGCAGGCAGTTTCCCTCCCCCTTGCACACATCTTATTTTTCAATGAATTATCACAGTGAACACACCTCCTTAACTACCATCATGTCAAGAAATAGATAGCTACCAGAGTAGTGAGTGATACCCTTTGCTTCTTATCTTTGGCATCTAGCATTACATCAGACATCTAATAGGCATTCAATAAATGTTTGTGTAATTAATTCATAAGATTCTAGCCATTTTTCTCAATAGCTGATTCATTACTCTGCTGCCTTGGAAAGAGCCCAGCAAATTCAAAAACAAATGCACGTAACAGCACACATTGCCCTTTTAGAAACCATGAATTCACTGAATTAGGCAGATTTTCCAAATGTTGACACATTTCATTACATGATATTTTTAAAGTCATATTTATTAATACTATCACCATCAGGAAAATCTTTAAGTATTGGAAAAAGAGCAAGCTTGTGATAGCAGACACGTTTTCCAAAAATTCTTTCACTTGAAAGCTCTAATTGGCCAGGCGCAGTGGCTCATGCCTGTAATCCCAGCACTTTGGGAGGCTGAGGTGGGCGGATCATGAGGTCAAGAGATCAAGACCATCCTGGCCAACATGGTGAAAACCTGTCTCTACTAAAAATACAAAAATTAGCCGGGCATGGTGGCACGTGATTCTGGTCCCAGCTAATAAGGAGGCTGAGGCAGAAGAATCGCTTGAACCAAGGAGGAGGAGGTTGCAGTGAACCGAGATTGCACCACTGCACTCCAGCCTGGTGACAGAGCAAGACTCCATCTCAAAAAAAAAAAAATAGTTTTGACCTCACAACTTAGCTCAGGACACCCTAGGAGTCCAAAGACCATACTTTGAGAACTACTGATTTTTGACATTGCAACGGTTCATTCACATTAGAATAAATTAAAAATTTTCCCAAGAATGTAAAGAAATCACTGCATATATAATTTTTAACATTCTTATTTCACAGCTAAAGCAGTCTTGAAAAAGATTATTAGAACCGATCAAAGTTAGTGGACTCAAACCTTTTTGAAACTTTTCCATTTCAAAAGTTTCTACAAAGCTTCAGTAATCAAGACAGTGTGGTACTGGCATAGACATATTGCATATATATTATAGAACTGAGAGGCCAGAAATAAACTCTAATATTTAATTTTCAACAAAGGGGCCAAGGCAATTCCACAAGGAAAGAATTGTCTTTTCAAAAAAGAATGCTGGACAGCTGAATATTCACATGCAAAAGAATGAAGTTGGACCCTATGTCAGCCATACACAAAAATTAACTCAAACTACATGAAAAATTTAACTAAAACAAGGGGCCTAATGTAGAAAAAAAATAGAACTACAACAATCTTAGAAGAAAATGCAGGAGTAAATCTTTATGATCTTGGGTTAGTTAGTAATTTCTTAGACAAGACACCAAAGGCAAAAGGGATTAAAAAAATTGATAAGTTGTACTTCCTTAAAATTAGAAACTTTTGTGCTTCAAAATAGACAACAAGGAAAAAAAGACAACCCACAGACTTGGAGAAAATATTTCCAAATCATATGTCTTATAACAAATTCATATCCAGAATAAATAAAGAACACTTACACCTCATTAATAAAAAGATAAATAAACCAATTTCAAAATTAGCAAATAATTTGAATATACATTTTGCCAAAGAAGATATATGAATGACAAGTAAACACATGAAAAGAAACTCAATGTCATTTATCATTAGTGTAATGCAAATCAAAACCACAATGAGATATTATTTCACACCCACTAAAATAGTTATTTTTAAAAAATATATTGAAATGATGTAGAGAAATTAGAACCTTTGTACATTGTTGGTGGAAATATAAATTGATATAGTCACTTTGGAAAATAGTTCAGAATTTTCTCAAAATGTTAAATACAGAGTTACCATATGATCGAGCAATTCCACTCTTAGGTATAGACCCAATTGAAATAAGAACATATGTACACATAAAGATTCGTACATAAATGTTCATAGAAACATTATTCATAATAGCTAAAAAGGACAAACAACCCAAATGTCCACCAACCAATGAATGGATAAATAAAATGTGCTATACCCATATGATTATTTGGCAATAAAAAGGAATAAAGTATTGATACATGTTTCAGTGTATCATGTAGATGAAATTCAAAAGCATTGTGCAAAGAGAACGAAGTCAGTCATGAAAGACCACATAATGTATGGTTTTATTAATAAGAAATGTCCAGAATAGGAAAATCCATAGAGACAGAAAGTAGATTACAGGTTGCCTAAAGAGAGTGAATGCTAATGGATACACGGCTTCCTCAGGGATGATGAAATGTTCCAGAATTAGATTATGGAGTTGGCTGCACAACTCTGCAAATATTCTAAAATCCATTGACTCGTACACTCTAAATGGGTGACCTTCATAATGTGTAAATTAGATCTCATAAAGTTGTTAGAAATCAAAATAAATGGAAGAACCATTCCCATAAAAACAAAACTATCAATGTTTCCTTTAAGAATGTTTCAGTAGGTGTAGTTAATTACGATTTGACTTTTTTAAGTTTGCACTAAAATTACTCACCAAAACCAGTAGCAGGGTACCTCACTGCTCTTATTGAAAATGATTAACCTTTAATACACTTGTAATATCTGAGAAAAAGAAACCCAGGGGTCTCAGCAGGACTCCCTTCTAAGGTCATATGATTTCTAAAGAAGTAACCACTAGGTTTGAGGTCATCAGGGTGTTAACTATACTGACAGCACATCTGACCATATGTATTATAATGGAGACCACATCCTCAGCTCAAAAAAAGAGCTGAACTCATTTCTAATAGAAAGCACACTGCATACTGTTCCTCCAGGAACTGAGGTTGATTCTTTTTAGAGTGAGACATAACCCAACATTAGAACAAAAATGATTCCCATTTCTTTTCTCAGCTAAACCTGTTCAGAAGAAAGTAAGGAAGAAAGGCAGGAAGGGAGAGAGACAGGGAAACTCAGAGACACTTTCAGTAAAGTTGTCAAACTAGATAATCAGGAACACACTCTCGGAGGGCTGGAAAGGGCCAAAAGCCCCCACCCCCGCAGCCCATGTCCCCACACCTGCCACAGACCAGGCAGGAGCACAATAAACACTCCCCACAAAGTGGAGAAGAAACATCCAGGCCAGAGCCTCTATGTAAATAAATCTCCCTCCTGTCCTCAGCTTGCACTCAGCCTACTAAGGAGACTAGAAAGAAATTTGACCACATTGCCATGTATGCACCCATGCAACAATCCTACATGTTCTTTACATGTACCCCAGAACCTAAAATACAACAAAATATATATTTTATTGCAAAAAAAAAAAGAAAGAAATTTGATTGGTGACCAGTTTTAAGGACAAAAGCTCTAATTTAAGTCTAAAAGAGTTTCCAGTCATGGATACTGCAGATAATATTGCAGATGATGAAAGCATCATCAAAATCTTAACTAAGACATTTTACAGTCTCCCCTGGTGTCCTGTGATGGCAACAAGGCCCTTACCCTTCTCCCACCCTGTATAATTCCAGTGTCCCATCACCAGTCCTAGCAAAGGAGCGCGTGCCTGTTGGCAGTGAGCTGTCATCCACTGTTCTTACTTGTGTTTGGTTTCCTAATGCTAAACTTTGAAATTTGGGAAAAAAAAAAGAAAGAAAGAAAGGAAACCACATCCTTTTTACACTCAATATAAGGATAGAGGCAGTTAAGAAGTGAAAACAGATTTTCAGGTCGATTGATGTGGGACAGCAGCCACAATGAGGAACTCCTACAGACTTCTGGCATCCTCTCTCTCAGTTGTTTTTCTCCTGCTAATTCCTGGAGGTAAGACTGATTCTTCTCACTTCTCTTATGACTATGAAGCAAAATGGAACAGACTTTCAATGAACTTTTGGTAATATTACCTTCTTATACTGAAAGATGTTTTCCTTAAAATGTTTAGCCAGGCACAGTGGCACATGCCTGTAGTCCCAGCTACTAGAAAGGCTGAGGTAGAAGGATCACTTGAACGCAGGAGTTTGAGTCCCAGGCTGGGCAAGATAGAAAGACCCTGACTCTATTTAAAAACAAAAAAATAGCATTCTTTCTTGTATTTTAAATATTTCTTTATTTTAGAAGAAAAAAATTTTCTTCTTATAATTTTTTGCAAAAGATAGTCGAAGCACCAATGTTTATTGCTGCCAATTTATAACTTGAAAGTTGACAAAAAGGACAATGTAAAAATAAGCAAACAAAACTCTCTTGAGTTAGTAAAACAAATAGTACCTTCCAGGAGAGGAATACTGGCACCTTAGTCAGCTCAGCCTTTTCTGCTGTAGAAAATGCATAGTTTAAAGACAATTAAGACAAAGCCGACCCAGACACCAAAAGTGAATCAGGAATTATTAGAATTTTTACACTTACTTCTCTGGTCTAGAGACTCTTTGGGAATACATTAAGACATCGGGCCAGTTCCCTCGTTAACCCTTTGGGAATGCTATAGTATTTTTTATTAAGCTAATTCCTTTGTCTACCAAATGGGAACCAGTATTTCTGCTTTTGTGTGAGTTGCACATGCATGGGTTAAAATGTTGTACAATTCATGGTATTACCACTGAAAGGGTGATAGCTCTTGGGAAGCTCTAGATTTCCCTTGAAGACCCTACTAGGAAGTGAGGACTACTCTGGAGCTGTGGCAATACAGAGCCAGCCATGGTTTTTCCCAGGATTCATCAGCTTCTGGAGGCAGGGACTTATATAATAACCTGCCTTGCCAGGAATTCCCAAAGAACTCTGATTTATTGTGTACCTAAAAATGAGAAGAAATTTGAAAATAACAAGGCTGCAGGACAAAGGTTGCCTATGTTATAACTATATTCAGGCATGTTAAATCCTCCGTAACAGAGAAAACAGGGCAGATGAATCCAGCCATACCTTTTCTTCAAAGGAAACAACAAAAGCAGCCTGCCATGCTCCTCTCTGTTCCTGTGTTCAGAGAGAGCAGTGTGGGCCCATATGGGGAACAGACACAGCACAGCAAGGCACAGTTGAAATCTATCTGTTCATGAATCACCCTAGGAAAACTGGGATTGGGTGAAGTTCTCTTGTTTCTGAAAGCGCTTTACCCTCTTATTTCTACAGCCCAGAATTTCCTCCTCCCAGCTCCCTTTTTAAAAGCAGAGACGTCTGCTTTTTCAAATCACACTAGCCACCTTTCATGTGGTCACTCTCCTCCTTGCTCTCACCCTCATCAAATCTTACGAAAGGTTTCTATAGCTGTCATTAATACTTATGACATTATGTATGTGAATTTGGCAATGACTTGGTCCCAATTATGGAACAAGAGGCATGGTGCCCTATTCAAGAAACCGTGAGTCTCAGCAAAAGTATTTTGGGAGAATCCAAGAACATCTGGAGCAGGAGGTGGAGAGCTCAGAGTGTATCACTAAGACATAAGGTTCTCTTGATCAGCATATATGGTTTGCCTTGTGTTCAGTTCTCACTGTTCCCTAACAATGGGTCTCTACTTCTAGACCATCATCAAGGCAATGTCACTTAGGCAGAATTCTCTGCATATAGTATCTTCTCTCCTCTCTTCCCTACCTCACTGGGAAAGACCTTAGATTAAACCACATGGTTTTGTCTAGAGACTGAAGGGGAGGTGCAACTGATGTTATTTTCTTAACTTATGAGTGAGAACAGTGCAGTTTAATAACCAGAATTCTCATAGTGAGGGTCACAGCTGAATGATGCTAATATCAGTTCAAAGCTGTGTTTTTGCAATGGCTTAGGGTTAAAAGGGAAGGTATGAGTCTTCTAAAAGTCTTATCTGCTTCCCCCAAATTAACACTTAGCCAAAAGGGGTGGGAGCACCCGAGGTTCTCACTACCACTGGCATCTCCTGCAGCAACTGTTGATGGTAAAGACCAAGGCAGAGCTTTCTGCCCTGGGCCTGAGGTTGCTGGTTTGTGACATCCAGCCTAATGATCCTGGAACAGTCAATGGCCTGGCTTCTGTGGGTGGAAGAGCTCTTCCAGGACCCCAGAGTCCCACAGGCATAGGATTTGCACCAGATGTCTACGGGTCTACATAGAGCAAAAACTGGGGGAAATGCTCTCATCCAGACTTCGTCTCTGAGTGCAAAAAGCATGGCTGGTCTTAGAAACGTGGCTTTGTGTAGAGCTCTTTGAGGGTGGGCACCAATCTCATTTGTCTTTTCCCATTAAACAGATGTCTGTGAAAAAATTGTTGGAGGAAAGGAAGTAACTCCTCATTCAAGACCCTACATGGTCCTACTTCAACTTAACAAAAACAACATCTGTGGTGGGGCTCTGATTGAAAAAGACTGGGTGTTGACTGCAGCTCACTGTAACTTGTAAGTGCCTGAGTTTTTAAAAAAATGTTTGTGAAGATACTCTAATTTGGGGAAGCATTAATAAAAAGAGTAGGCTGGGCGCATTGGCTCACACCTGTAATTCCAACACTTTGGGAGGCCAAGGCAGGTAGATCACACGAGGTCAGGAGTTCAAGACTAGCCTGGCCAACATGGTGAAACCCTGTCTGTACTATATAAAATGAGCTGGGCATGGTGGCACATGCCTATAATCTCAGCTACTTTGGAGGCTGAGGCAGGAGAATTTTTTGAACCTGGGAGGCAGAGATTGCAGTGAGCCAAGTTTGTATCACTGCACTTCAGCCTGGGCAACAAGACTGAGACTCCATCTCAAAATAAAATAAGAGTAGAACCCATTAAAGCCAATGGAGATTCACATGTATTTTCACATCATTTAAGTCTTTGAGCACTTGCTTTAGCCTGAAAGGAAGTTAAGCCCAGACTTGCCACAAAGAATCAGGCTATGAGGTAGCAGCAACCACAAGTTCTTTCTGTGGTCTAGGTCTCCACTGAGCCACTGGGTACAGGTGCTGCAGAGCTTTGCTTCTGTCATGACTGTGACCAGGTAGAATTAGCTTCAGCGTGGAAGGGTGAAACTTTCAGTGCCCCCTCAGAGGGTGCAACCATCAAGTAGAGGAAGCTTGTGTCCAACGCCTTCCTGTATTCCTCTGTGAATTCCTCTCACATCTTCGGTCATCTCTATGCTCCTGTCAACCACGACATTCAAACCTCTTCCCAGCTCTGGTCTTTTCCCACTCTCTAAGACTCTAAACCTGGGCCATTCAATATGATAGCCTCCAGCTACATGTAGCTATGTAAATTCAAATCAATTAAAGTTAAATAAAATCTTAAATTTAGTTCCTCAATCACACTAGTCACATTTCAAGTCCTCAGTAGCCACATGTGGCTAGTGCAGATTCATAGAACATTTAATCATCAAAATATGCTCTACTGGAAAGCACTGTTCTAAGGTCTTTTTCTTTCTTTTATAATTATTTACTTTGTATTGACATATAATAGTTGCACATATGTTGGGGGTACATGTGATAGTTTAAGTGAGACTAATCACAGCTGATGAGGAAAGAAAAGAGGCAGTGTGCACAATCTGGTTAGTGTAGTTTATGTTAGGTTGTGAATGATGATAGCCTTAATCATCAGTACATCAGAAAGCATTTTGATTTTTATAATCAAAATGAACCTTTAAGAGTAAAAAAAAGACTCCTGGACCCTTCTTCCTTCAGACCACCATCCCTTCAACACACTCAACGCCATGCAAATAGGTTCCTCCATGGGACAATCTGTTTTCCTGTTTGAGTTTGTTGTTTTCTTTAAACGATTCCTTCAATGCCTTACTTTACAACCATTGGCTACTTTTTGCTTCTGTCTCTGGACTACTGAGGTCTTTGCTTTCCAGTGATTCTCCATCACAGCTAAATAAGACAGGGGTAGAGGGGCAGACAAGCCCAAGACCTGGCTTTGCTGCCATGGAATTCTCTTATTTGTTTTCCAATGAACCTAGTTTAGCTTTTTATAAATAAGCTGGTGATGATGATGAAGATGAATTCATAAACATTCTTTTATTCATAAACATGATTTTATTCTTTAAAGCATACATTTTCTTTCTAAGCCAGAAAGAGGTCTCCTCACCTCCATATTTACAAATGGGATAGTGAAACTGGTCAGCACATATGCTCAACTGCTAATACAAAGAATAAATCCAGTAAATAATGTTGTATCTGTTTTCAGGAGCAAAAGGTCCCAGGTCATCCTTGGGGCTCACTCAATAGCCAAGAAAGAGCCAGAAAAACAGATAATGCTTGTTAAAAAAGCGGTTTCCTATCCATGCTATGATTCAACCACACATAAAGCTGATCTTCAACTAGTACAGGTATGTACCTTTGACTGTCTTCTCAAAAGTTATAGAACCTCCTACAACCTGGCCACCGATCTGAAAACCTTTTCTTATACCCCTTTTGTAAAAACTTACATAAAGGGATCCTGAAAATTTGGACTAGAATTTAAGTTAAAACATAAATATTTATCTTATCCTATTCACACTTTGTTTTTCTTACAACAGCTGATGAAAAAAGCAACAATTAATAAATATGTGACTACCCTTCATCTGCCTAAAAAGGGGGATGACGTGAAACCAGGAACCATGTGCCAAGTCGCAGGGTGGGGGAAGATCAACGGTATGTCATCTCGGTCCGATACTCTGAGAGAAGTCAATATCACCATCATAGACAGAAAAATCTGCAATGATCCAAAGCACTATAATTCTAACCCTGTAATTGGAAAAAATATGGTTTGTGCCGGAAGCCACCGTGGTGGGAAAGACACATGCCATGTAAGTAAAATAAGATCCCACATTTTAGCTATTGAAGTATAGAAAATGTAATGTCATGCTTTGTCTTGTCATGGCACTGGCTTCTACAGGATCCTAGTGCTTTTTGAAATAAGTTTAATGAAACCCCAGTCAAGTAAATAAATGTGCTCCGCTCAAGTGAGTCATTAATCAAAATTAAGAAGTTCACTGCTAGTGCATGGATTGACCAACTATGTATTTTGGATTTTATACAAAAATTACCAAGAAGCAATGTTTTGTCTAATTCTTCATATTAACATATGTAGATCTAATGTTGAAGATATGCAACACTTAGAAGAGCTGAAGTTAAGGTTTCTCAAGGGCATTCAGTGTTCTTTCCCCATTTCAGTACATTCCCTCTCCTTCCCCACCACATTCCTCTGCCATTTAACTTAGGCACGTCTGACATGTCTGTCATTTATGACCCTGGCTGAAGACCTCGAGCCAGACCCCATAGCTTCCTAGAGCTTAGTTTAATCCCCAGCAAGCAACTTCAAAGCATAACTCACACCAGAGAATGTGTAAGCTTCCATCCTAGAACCCCCCGAGAAGGGGTGGGACAGGGCCATGCTTAAAGACAAGGATAGAAGAAACATTTTACAGATTTTTAAACTGAGTACTAACTTGCACTTCTCATTTGTCCCAAAGACCCTATAGAGTCTTACCTGAACAGGGGTGTGCCGTATGCATGGTTTGGGAGGTACCAGAGATTGAGAAATACAAAGGTCTCTCCTTCCCTAGATCTATGTCTTGCCTTCAGAACCAAAGCTAGCCAAATCCCAGGAAAAGACAACATCTGTCTTTAGTACCTGTCTACTTTCTCTTCTCTGCCCTAGTTCACCCATTCCCTCCCCTGTCCACCACCCTGGCTCCCAGGAACCCAGAACCTTCATGCTTTTGGAACCCACATGCAGCATCCTAAGCCACGGCAGCATCCCAAGACACTAGTCCCCATCTCACCAGCCACCCGCCACCACTAAAGCTTGGCAATCCTTCCCTGTCCTCTCAAAACCCTTGAATTTTGCTATTGATGAATTAAACCTAAAGGACCAGTTCTGCAAATGCCAGTTACTGTAACAGGCAGGGGAAATATTCCTGTTCAGGGAATTTAGTAGAGAGTTATCAGCCCACAGACACTTCTTTATTTTATATATTCATAAGGCCAACTTTTACCTGAAAGGGACTGATTTGGTTTTGTTTCTTTGAGAAGGCAATTATCTACTGGAAGAACCAGAAAACATGGTTTTTATTCTTTGCCTCAATGTACCATCTGCATTTGACTATTTTGCCCCTTGAGTTATTAAGCGTTTTAAGAAAATGACAAATAAACAGGAGACTTTCCTTTCCAAAACCAGAACAGTCTCAAAAATTAGCTGGTAACATATACAAGCTTCATTTCCATTTTCACTGGCTCATAAATAAACCAGGGAGCCAATTCAAAAGCATTCAAATATTTCCAAACATTTTAATTTTTAAGCACTATCTTCAGTTAAGTCAAGGTTAGTCTTACCTCCACATTAAATACTGCAGAATTTCTTCCATTTCACTAGTGGTAATGCTCAACACTGACCCCACTCCCCACCCCTCTTGTTTTCCTCCAGGGAGATTCTGGAAGCCCTTTGTTGTGCGGGGGTGTTTTCCGAGGTGTCACTTCCTTTGGCCCTATGAAATGTGGAGACCCTCAAAGGCCTGGTGTCTATATTCTTCTCTCACAGAAATACCTCAACTGGATAATTAGAACTATCAAGGGGGCAGTTTAAATGACTGTTTCATTTCATTTACTGTGGCTTCTTAATCTTTTCACAAATAAAATCAATTTGCATGACCGTAACTTTCTCTCCTGTGACCTTAGTCGGCAGATCTGCACCAGCAAAGTGAAGCAGAGTTACATGGCAACCTTGTAGATAATGCAAGGGGGAGGGATTAGGTGATCAATGTCACCAGAGTCATTTGTGCGTCAAGTGACATGGGAATGCTTCCTGAATTATTCATCTCACTATCTCAGTGGAATCCTGCAAGAATGACCCTAAGATCAGGTCTAATAACAAATGTAGTAAAGGGCAACAGAAACAGCCAGTCTGGAACATTTGTGTTAAAGGAAATACAGGGCATTGTTCCACATTGGCACCTGCGTTTCATGTTATACACAAGAACCTGAGTCTATGGGACAAACAGCAACAAGCAATGCCTTACAGTATTTTCTAAATTCTAGGGCATACAAATAAAGTGCTTGGGCAGCAAAGAAAATTATGCGATAGAATGTCAGCCTTCTTTCTCAGTGCCTGCGTTTAAGCCTTGGATTACCTAGGTGATTTCTCAGTTCTCTTTCTTCTTGAGACTGGGTAGATCCAATCAACATGGTGGTTACAGTGGCTGCCATCCCATAGTAGAGAGTAAATGTTGACTTGTGTCCGAAAGTTTTCTTTGGAAAAAGCCCTCATAATATCTTTTCAACATAGTGAATTTGGTAGATAGTTATCAGCCTGCAATCACTTCAAGATGTGATAATGTGAATAAATTCCTTCAATTTCTATAGTCCCTTTAGTAATATAAATTTTATATATGTATATTATTTATTATGTAATACAAATTTCAATATATACATATATTACATATGTATATATATGCATGCACGCACACACATATATATATATACACACATATACACACACATATATACATGCATAATACATATTCAAACCAATAACATACAGCAACACTAAGAGACAGGTTCTTAAAACAAAGTAAGGAGCATAGCTTAAAGACTGGCTAAAATAATAGTACATGGGTTTTCAACCATGCTAGTTCATTAGGCTCACCAAGCTCTTTAAAATTATCAATGCCCAGGTCCCACCTCTAGAGATCCTGATCTAATTGGCATTTGGTGGGACCCAAGTTGTAGTATTCATGAGTTCCCCCAGTGATTTAATATGCAGCCAGGGATAAGAACCCTTATTCTAGAAAAGGAGACCTGGTGCAACTACATAAAAAGAGGCTCTGAGAGAGTAACTACCATGATATTTTAAATCCCTCATTGTTAGTTAAGATTTTAACTGCAAAAAGGATGGACTATTCCCTACCGTCAATATGTATTACAGATTTTCAACTCTGTTTAAAAAGTGGTTGTATGGAACCCTCACTGATTGCTGGTAGAAGTGTAAACTAGTACAACTTCAGGGGAAAACTGGCAGTGTCTACTAAAACTCAACATGTATATCAACCTATGACCCAGCAATTCCACTCCTGGGTAGATCCCAAACAGATACGAGCACTTTTATCCGTCAAAGATGTGTTCGGAAATGTACATAGCAGTTTCATTTTTGGAAGTCAAAACTAGAAATAACTCAAATATCCACACACAATAAAATGGATGAACAACTGTTATGTAGTCATACAATAAAATATTACACAGCATTGAAAAAAGAACAACTTCAGTTACATGTGACACAAATTTAATGTTGAGGAAAAATGAGATAAAAAAGAATATACATGACGTGATTCCATTTATCTGAAAGTTAGCATATGGAAAAACTAATCCATGGAGATAGCAGTCAGAGAAATGTAGATCTGAGCAGGGCACGGTGGCTCACGCCTGTAATCCCAGCACTTTGGGAGGCTGAGGCAGGTGGATCACGAGGTCAGGAGTTTGAGACCAGCCTAACCAATAAGGTGAAACCCTATCTCTACTAAAACTACAAAAATTAGCTGGGCATGGTGGCATGCCTGTAATCCCAGCTACTCAGGAGGCTGAGGCAGGAGAATTAGGATAATTCCTTGAACCTGGGAGGCAGAGGTTGCAGTGAGCCGAGATCATGCCACTGCACTTTAGCCTGGGTGATAAAGCAAGACTCCGTCTCAAAAAAAAACAACAACAAAAAAGAAAAATGTAGGCCTGCTAAGTAGAAGTAGGCACAAGGAATCCCTTTAGGGTACTAGAGATGTTCATATCTTGATCTAGATGATGGTTATACAGTTATTTATTCATAAATTTAAAACTCATCAAGCTATAAACTTAAGACTATTGCTTTACTATATGTGAATTATTACACCACAAAAAATTTTTAATTACAAAATTTAAAAATAGGTTGTAGCCCAGGATTTTGTTTTGTATGTTATCTGAAAGCTTACCATTTTCTTTATGAAAACCATATTCCAAACTTTCCAACAAATCTAATCGTAGTAACAGATATATTAATATTTTTCTTAAATGAGAGCCTCTTGTTCACGTGCCAGTATTGATTGAGAGAAGCAGCCTTTGGTCATGACACAGTGTCATGAGAGTATTAAAACAGAAGTATCCAGAACAGAATGACATGGGACACTGGAAATGGTCTAATCATTTCGCTCATTTTCTTCTAAATATTTTCTTATAGTTTATGCCTGGCTTATTAAGAAGATCAAATTAAAACCATTAAAGAAGAGTGTGCATTGAAGAAAAGTATCACATCTGTGGCTTTCAGTGGCCTAAAATTTTCTTTGGCAAGAATTACTAACATCACCAAACAGATCTAAAGGTTAAAAACAGGGAAAATTTAAAAATACATTGACAAAATAACACCAATTTAACAGAAGAGTCCTAAACTGCCCTAGTACATACTAGTCTATGTTTGAATTCTCAAAATTTTTGTTTCGTTGTATCAATTTTGGGGGCATAGGGAGTGGGTATGTATTAATTGAAAAAAAATCATGTCAAAGCACAAAAAATAATCAACCAATATTTGTTACCCGGCATATGCAGAATATTCTAGAGAGCACCAAAAAGTACAAACATGCTCCCTCAAGTCCTCAATTTTAACTCCTCAGGATGTTAAAACCAAAATAACCAAAGATTCAAATAGTAATAAAAGATGTTTTTAAACAACTATAATAGTTTAATAATACTAAATAGATGACATAGACAAATGCCAAGAACTCAAACCCAGGTAACATCATTTTGAAACACTTCCCGGAGAGATTAGGACTTGTGCAGGTGTGTAAAGGAAAAGGAGAGAGAAGCAAGGATTCAGATGAGAAGAAAAGCTCCAATGAGGCAAGAAATCACAAGACTGAGCCAAAGTCTTCATAAAGTGATCAGTTCGAAGGAACCTTAGCAGTGATCAGATCCAAATTCCTATCCTTGCAGATGTTGCAACACATCTAAGGTTACAGGGTGTATTTATGGCAGAGCCAAGGCAAGAACAGATCTCCTAACTTCAGGTCCTGGGCTCCAGACTCCAGAAGCCAAAGGTGTTTGGTAACAGGGTGTCATTGAGAGCTTATGAGCAGGGGACTAAGAGGATCAGCGCAGGACTTTAAGATGTTTAATCTAGCAGTGGTGTGAAATCAGGAGGAGACTCAAGAGCATCAGTTCTAAGCAGACTGGCTGTTAGGCACTCAGGATGTGACTAAGTGAAGCAAAAGAAGAAAGAGCAAAGGGTGAACCGAGGAAGCACAGAGCAGAATAATCAGGAGGATCCCTGAGTGGGGGACCAGGACAAGGGTGAGACCATAAGGAGGGGAAAGGAATTCCTACAGAACTGATTTTTAGAGAAAGTAATATGCATGCTTAACATACCACCTAACATACAGTGAGATTTTAATAAATGTTTTCTTAAGGGAACAAGTTGTGTTTTCAATGTGTTGAGATTAAGCTAAAGAGAGAAAAGAATCTCAAAAGGGAACTATCTCGAGGCAATCAGAAATATGAGGTTTGGAGCTGGGAAGAAAAGTTAGATGGGAAAGAAGTAGAAATCGTTGCTGTAGATGTTATTTTCAATAAAGCAGTGACAATGAATCTCTAGAAAGGAGTAAGAAGGGGAGGAAGGGGGCAGAAAGAGGAAAGCAGAGAAGAAAAGAAGTCAATCTCTGCAAAGCAGAGTGAATAAAGCAATCTAAGAAAGAATAACAGGAGAATAGGCATTTACATCAAGAAGAGTATTTCAACTTGTTTGATACTCATAAAAACCCCATGGAGAAGGCATGGCCAACATCATCATCTTCATTTAGAAATGAGGAAACTGAAATCTAGAGGGGCTGGGTGCTAGTAGCAACTCCATATGGAGGCCGTCCCATCAGCTGCAGCAGAAAACACCTGGGTCTGGTCTGGACTCAAAGCCAGGTGCAGCACTCTGCCCCTGTGGCCTGGGGGAAAAAGGAAAGACAGTTCATACTCCATGTTACATGGGCTGCTGCTCAGGACTTTAGGCAATGTAAGGTGGGACCATGAGTCCCATTTCAGGCTAAAGGACTTTCCTATACCCATCAGGTTCAGAGCTGGCACCAACTGAGCCGTGCTGGGAGACAGCAGTCAGGGCTGACTGGGACAGTTTTCTCCCTCAGTGCTCTTGCCCCTGTATCAGTGTCCTGTGACTGCCATAACAAGTTACCACCAATGGGATGGCTTAAAACAACAGAAATTGATTCTCACAATTCTGGAGATGGGAATTCTAAAACCATGGGGTCAGAGTGGCTGTGCTCCCTAGGGATGCTCTCTGGGGGATTCTGTGCCTTGCAGCTATTGGCAGTCCTTGATTTGTGGCCACATCACTCCAGACTCTGTCTCTGTGGCCATGTCACCTCCTCTTCTGTGTGTCTCTTCTCCTCTGTGTGTCTCTCACAAGGATACTTGTCATTGGATTTAGGGCCACTGGATAATCCAGGATGATTTTATGACAAGATACTTAATGACATCTCCAAATGCAATTTTTCCAAAGAGGTCCCATTCTGAGGTTCCAGAGAGTTAGCATGGATGTTCTTTAGGAGACCACTTATCAACCTACCACACCCTTTGTACTCTATACTGTTGTTAGTTCTGTCTTCTCTAATCCACCCATTCCTAAGAATGCCAGTACTATGCTCCTGCCACATACCCCAGCCCTACCCCAAAAGTACCCCATTGGGGCCCAGGTTACAATAAACGAATCAGACAAACCGAAGTAGCTTAATGAAAAAGGACCCAAAAAGCTCTCCCACAGAGCATGCATGAGTCGCACTTAGGAAATTCTGGAGACAATGCACCTTCTTCTGTTAAATGATTATTTACCAAAGAACATTCTATGGCACAGTAGTCCTGTAGGAAGTTGGGAGGTTAATAAGCATTAAAAATGAAAAGACTGTTTTAATGTTCATACTAATTTGGAAGCTTCAAGTTGAGAAAGTTTAACATTTCCTTATTTCAGGATTTATTTATTTTAGGACTACTATAAGCATTATAAATGTTCTGGAAATGATGCTGTAATAGGCAGCACTTCTCAGACTTATCTGACCACGGAGTTCTTTTAATCTGAGCATCTCAAGGGACTAGTGCCCCTTAGAAAATGCTTTGCAAAATCTGGCCCAATCCAACAGTGATTTTAACGATCAAAACTTTAGGCCAAAATAGGTGAAGCTGACTCTATGAAAGGAGCCTGGGGCTAGGAAAATGAGGGAGAGAAGGAGGTCAGATATGGTCTTCAGTGGGTAGGTATTTGAGGGTGCAACTGAAATAAAACTAGATGGGTGGTCACTGTTCAAAGGACCAGTGCTACCTACAACTCAATTGAGAGCTGGAATTTCAGAGATGATTATGTATTCTGATACAAGCAGAAAGGAGTGTAAAAATACTATTCCACTCCCAAAAGAGACATATTTGACATTTATTTCAACTACACACATCACTTCCAACACTCTCCTATGTGCCTGTGCATGTGCATGCCTGCGTGCACGCACATGTGTGCACATACACACATGCACATACCAGTAAGGGGTGTCACTAAGGGAACATGGGATTGGCCTTAGATGTGTTGGGACATAAAGAAGTTTTGATTTATAAAGACAATGCAAGCCCCTTGTTTTATAGGTGAAGGAAAATATATGGGGATACCAAATGCGTTGCCCAAGCTCACACAGCTAATTAATGACAGAACCAAAAGTAGGATCCAATTCAATGCTCTGACAATTCAGACCACACTCCAAACCCTGACTAAGGAATCTCTTTTTGGCCGGGTGTGGTGGCTCAAGCCTGTAATCCCAGCACTTTGGGAGGCCGAGGCGGGTGGATCACGAGGTCAATTGATCGAGACCATCCTAGTCAACATGGTGAAACCCTGTCTCTACTAAAAATACAAAAAATTAGCTGGGCATGGTGGTGCGTGCCTGTAATCCCAGCTATTCAGGAGGCTGAGGCAGGAGAATTGCCTGAACCCAGGAGGCAGAGGTTGCGGTGAGCCGAGATCGCGCCATTGCACTCCAGCCTGGGTAACAAGAGCGAAACTCCATCTCAAAAAAAAAAAAAAAAAGAGAATCTCTTTTTTTTATGGAAGACCATTGTCTATTATTTAAAAAATAATAATAATAAAACCATATAAATGAAAAGCAACTTGATTTAGTTGTTTTAAAATGATCAATATAGGAGATGGACTTGGTGGCACATGCCTGCAGTCCCAGCTACTCAGGAGGGTCGCTTAAAGCAAGGTGTTAAGGCTGCAGTGCACTATGATCAAGCCTGTGAATAGCCACTGCACTCCCGCCTGGGAAACATAGCAAGATCCAGCCTCTTAAAAATAAGAGCATAAATACATAATAGAATCCTAATACTTTTTAAAATTTATTTATTTTGAGACAGGGTCTCATTCTGTCACCCAGACTGGAGTGCAGTGGTGCAAACACAGCTCATTGAAGCCTCAACCTTCTGGATTCAAGTGATCCTCCCACCTCAGCCTCTCAAATAGCTGGGACTACAGGAGTGTGACACCACGTCTGGCTGATTTTTGTATTTTTTATAGAAATGGATTCTCACTATGTTGCCCAGGCTGCACTAATGCATTTAAATTAATAAGAAATAAAATCTATTCAATAAATATAATAGGTAATAAATATGCCTTCATTATTTTGTATTATGATGAAGAAGAAAAAAAGGGAAAGGAATGACAGAAGGGGGGGAAATCCCAACTCTTTTCCAAGGCATGTACTGAAACTATCTTGACTTAAAAATTAGAAAGCAACTTCTCAAATTTGTTAGAAAAATGGCATTTGGATGGGATGCAAAGGTATTCTTGAAGCTTTTTCTCTCACATCAATGACAATCTTAATTTACCAGATAGTGGGAAATGCCACCTTTACATCTGACAAAAGTCCTTTTTAGGGTTTATTTTCCCAAATTCTAAGAATACAGACTCTGAACGCATGAAAATGTTGTCTTCTTTCTGCAGCTGTAGTCATGAGACCACAGATTGATACATGGAATGATGAAACCAAGCCAAAGGCCAGAGCTCACCCTACAAGCTATAAAAACTGCCTCCTCCTATTTTAAAGCTTAAACATTACAACACTTTAGTAGGTGGGAATAATTATAGGTTATCTTTCTTCTGTGGTCAGGTGGGTGAGGCCTCTTTAACTAAAATATGCCCCCCCAAAAAAATCATGACTATGGTTAACAGGATGAGGCTTAGCAAAGGTGTGACCAGAATCTAGAATAGTTTTGTCCCAAACTTTGTGACCACAACCCACAGCTAAAACTACATTTTATGTAGCAACCCCATACATAGGCACATATAGGTACTACATAACTACAACAAAAGTTTCACAAAATACTACCTAGTTTTCCATTTTCCCATCCTATACTATTCTAGTTCACTTTTTATTGCTGATTTTGACTCACTATGTTCATATTCCAATGATCACAACTCCCAGTTTGAAGAGCCTAATCCAGATCTCAATCACCAGGTTTATGTTGAGAGCACTGTCCTTGACCCACAATGGAAAGATAGTCTCACAACAAAAGCCATAACTATTAAATACCTAAACAGTGGCAGGGGACACAGCAGTGCTCCCTGAGTGTGTTCATGGAACAAGTACTTCAAGATGCCCCTGACAACAGATTTCCCAAATGTGTTTGGGAAACAATGAACGCTATCACCTTCTCTTGGTGATGCACAATACACTAATCTATCTAAGCCTTTGGAAGGTCCTTAAGAAACAAAACACTGGCTGAGCCCAGTGGCTCATGCCTGTAATCCCCGCACTTTGGGAGGCCGAGGTGGGTGGATCACCTAAGGTCAGGAGTTCAAGACCAGCCTGGCCAACATGCGGAAACCATGTCTCTACTAAAAATACACAAAAATTAGCTGGGAATCATGGTTGGTGCCTGTAGTCCTAGCTCCTAGGGAGGCTGAGGCAGGAGAATTGCTTGAACCTGGGAGACAGAGGTTGCAGTGAGCCAAGATTGTGCCACTGAACTTCAGCCTGGGCGACAGAGTGAGACTCTGTTTCAAAAAAGAAAGAAAGAAAGAGAAAAAGAAAAAAAAAACAGTTCTAGTTTAACCCCAAATTTTCAAACTTACTGACCGACATGTTTTTGTATGACAACTTTTTGTATACATGTTTTTTATAACTGTTAAACATTTTTGAGATATACTGTATGTAGAAGAAACTACTGAGTTAGAGATGAAAGTAAGTGTCTAAGAGCTCAAAGGTAACTTCATCTCCAACTATATTTTAAAAGAAAAGGTTAAATGCACTCTTTGAAATTCTGTCTAATATTAATGAAAAAAAATCACAAGGAGTTAAAAGTAAAGTACTTAGAGCTCGTAAAGCCAGAAAAACAAGGAAATACACCTGATAAGTACTTTCTTTATTCCAAGCATCAGCAAATTGATTTGAATATCCTATCACAAGCCCCAACCTAACTGAAGCCCCAATCTGCTGGAATTAACTTTGTAAAGAACCAGGTTTTAAGGCTTGATTTAAAATACTTCTGTAATCTGAAAAGGTCCAGGGAATTGCATGTCTTTTGATTAAAAATATGAGAATTGATTCATGCTCTTCCTACACTTGTATCTGAACCAAAATGGCTCTGTTAAGAGTTGCCTGTATTCTGATTTACCAGGCCACAGAGTGTGACAGCTGACTAGCTTATTCTGAGGCTGAGCAAAGGTCCAGTCAGGCTCACCATCAGAGACAGGAAGTCTATCTGATAAGGTTGTTTCACTGTTGCCAATTAACATTCTCAGAATCTCCAGAGTCATGTATTATCACCACCTAACATTGCATATATTTGTTTTCTGTTTGTCTCCTCTCACAGAAGTGTAGGTTCCCTGAGGGCAAGGACATTGTCTCTCTTGTTCATCTGTATATCCCCAGCACCCCAAAAAAGTGCCAGCACATAATAGACGCTTCATAAATAAATAATAAATAAGTAAATCCCAGAGATTGACCAGGAGGCCAGGTTGAGTGGAGAGAGGAAAAAGACAGGATATATAATCAAAGTTCTACAAGAGATTGGATGCCAGTGCCCTGTTCTTGCATTAACCATGAGTTTTGTCTACCTGTTTCCCTGGGCTGGGTAGAGGAGAGATTCTACTCACCCTTGAGCACCCTTGAACATTCTAGATTGCATAAAAGAAGATTTAAGGCCCAGAGGACAGGGCTTGGTTCTTGCTCCTTGTCATGGGTACTCTCAGGAAGTACCCAGTAAAATTCTGTAGAACTAAGCTGAGAAGAACAGCGGTCCACCTTGAAAGGGCAGATGTTCACAGAGGAAGCCTCATGGTCATTAGTGGACTCCTGACACATAATAATGTCTTGCCCCAAACTGGAAGCATTCCCTTTGAAATCTGGCACTAGACAAGGATGCCCTCTTTCACCACTCCTATTCAATATAGTTCTGGAAGTTCTAGCCAGAGCAATCAGGCAAGAAAAAGAAATAAAGGGTATTCAAATAGGAAAGGTGGAAGCCAAATTGTCTCTATTTGCAGACGACATGATAGTATACCTAGAAGACCCCATCACCTCAGCCCAAAAACTCCTGAAACTGATAAGCAACTTCAGCAAAGTCTCAGGATATAAAATCAATGTGCAAAAATCACAAGCATTCGTCTACACCAATAACAGACTTAAAGAAAGCCAAATCAAGAACAAACTACCATTCACAATTGCTACAAAAAGAATAAAATACCTTGGAATACAACTCACAAGGAACGTAAGAGACCTCTTCAAGGAGAACTACAAACCACTGCTCAACGAAATCAGAGAGGACACAAACAGATGGAGAAACATTCCATGTTCATGGTTAGGAAGAATTAACATCATGAAAATAGCTATACTGCCCAAAGTAATTTACAGAATCAACGCTATCCCCATCAAGCTACCATTGACTTTCTTCACAGAACTGGAAAAAACCACCATGAACTTCATATGGAACCAAAAGAGAGCCCGCATAGCCAAGTCAATTCTAAGCAAAAAGAACACAGCGGGGGGCATCACACTACCAGATTTCAAACTATACTACAAGGCTACAGTAATCAAAATAGCATGGTACTGGTACCAAAACAGAGATATAGACCAATGGAACAAAACAGAGGCACCGGAGGCAACACAACATATCTACAACTATACAATCTTTGATAAACCTGACAAAAACAAGCAAGGGGGAAAGGATTCCCTGTTTAACAAATGGTGTTGGGAAAACTGGCTAGCCATGTGCAGAAAGCAGAAACTGGACCCCTTCCTGACACCTTACACTAAAATTAACTCCAGATGGATTAAAGACTTAAACATAAGACCTGGCACCATAAAAACCCTAGAAGGAAATCTAGGCAAAACTATCCAGGACATAGGAATAGGCAAGGACTTTATGAACAAAACACCAAAAGCATTGGCAACAAAAGCCAAAATAGACAAATGGGACCTAATGAAACTCCACAGCTTCTGCACGGCAAAAGAAACAGTCACTAGAGTGGATCGGCAACCAACAGAATGGGAAAAAATTTTTGCAGTTTACCCATCTGACAAAGGGCTGATATCCAGAATTTACAAAGAACTCAAACGGATTTACAGGAAAAAAACAAACAAGCCCATTCAAAAGTGGGCAAAGGATATGAACAGACACTTTATGAAAGAAGACATATATGAGGCCAACAATCATATGAAAAAATGCTCATCGTCACTGGTCATCAGAGAGATGCAAATCAAAACCACATTGAGATACCATCTCACGCCAGTTAGAATGGCGATCATTAAAAAATCTGGAGACAACAGATGCTGGAGAGGATGTGGAGAAAAAGGAACACTTTTACACTGTTGGTGGGAGTGTAAATTAGTTCAACCATTGTGGAAGACAGTGTGGCGATTCCTCAAGGCCTTAGAAATAGAAATTCCATTTGACCCAGCAATCCCATTACTGGGTATATATCCAAAAGACTATAAATCGTTCTACTATAAGGACACATGTACACGAATGTTCATTGCAGCACTGTTTACAATAGCAAAGACCTGGAATCAACCCAAATGCCCATTGATAATAGACTGGATTGGAAAAATGTGGCACATATACACCATGGAATATTATGCAGCAATCAGAAATGATGAGTTTGTGTCGTTTGTAGGGACATGGATGAATCTGGAGAACGTCATCCTCAGCAAACTGACACAAGAACAGAAAATGAAACACCACATATTCTCACTCATAGGTGGGTGATGAAAAATGAGAACACATGGACACAGAAAGGGGAGTACTAAACACTGGGGTCTATTGGGGGGGAAAAGGGGAGGGCCAGTGGGAGGGGGAGGTGGGGAGAGATAGCCTGGGGAGAAATGCCAAATGTGGGTGAAGGGGAGAAGGAAAGAAAAGCACACTGCCATGTGTGTTCCTATGCAACTGTCTTACATGCTCTGCTCATGTACCCCAAAACCTAAAATCCAATAAAAAATTTAAAAAATAATAATAATAATGTCTTGCCCTTTCAGATTGCCTTGTCTTCCACCCATTCTAGCACCGCTGGTTTTTCTTCAAAATAAGATAATTTGTGATGCTAACTCAAATTCAAAAACTGCCCAAGATCACCACTGCATCATTCATATACATATGACTTAATTTAAACATGTACATACGACTTCAAGTGATGAACAATCTTAGTTAAATTCAGAAACACTCAACTAGCTCTCTGAGGTTGGGTAGGTGTAGGACTTTTCCCTCTGATGAAGTATGTGCTTAGAAAAACCAAAAGAAACTCTTTCATTTGGGGCTTTTTCCCCCAACAGCTCACTTTGCTATAGTGGCATTTTACTCACCCATTTGCTTACCAAAAAACCCACCTGACCTGGACAGAGTGGGACAGGTCCATACAGTTACATCATTCTTGGGAGCACCTTGGCCAGTTGTAATCTCCTTTGTCTTAGGTAGCCAGATTAAGGAACAAATCTGTAATAATGATCACAAATAGAGAATTCTTGCAATTTCTGATTCCTTATGAATATACTTAAACTGATTAGTCAGTATGAACTGACCATGACCCAACCTCCAGTACAGCTGGGGTAGGTGCTACAGAAATTTCATCCGTTCTAGGAAAGATTATTCCAAGGCAACAAAGGACCAAGTATACAAACAGGCTTAGGTGCAATAAATTGAAGAATTTAAGTGAATCGTTATCATTGGCCAGGAAGAGCCAGACTACTCTCAAAGTTCATGGTCAAAGCAGTGATGAGGAAGAAAGGAAATGTGGGGAAAAACACACACACACACACACAAATTAAATTAACTTTGAACTCACAAATGAAGAGGAGAGGTTTTTAGAAAAAAAGAAAAAGAAACTTGAGAATTCAAATTCCTTAGGGTCTCAATAGAGAAAAAGAGCTTGTTAGGGGCCTAGGCTCTGTCATAAATTATTTTCACAAGATTCCAAAAGATCAAAAATGAAGATGAAGCCCAGAGGAGACATTAACCTGTGAGTTTGTGCTTGGAGTCTGGATGCTCTTCCCAGCATTTATATCCAAGATGTGTAAGCGTCCATCCTTCATTCCTCCTCCAATGGCAAGGACCCCAGACTGCCAGGGACACCAATCCATGGCCTTTAAAGTTTCACATAATAGCACAGACAGGTCAGCTTCAAAAAAGGTGCACTCATGAATGTGATGCACTCAGGTAAGCATCAAGTCCCCCAGGTCTGCACCTGTCTCAGCTCGCCTGGGCCTGCTATCCAAAGGCAGGAGAAACTGCACCCTTCAGAGATGACTCTCGGGGACTAGCAGTCACTTCTGGAAGGGAAGATATCTAATAGGACTCAAGTTATGATAACAATTGTAGATTTTTTAACATAGACTATGCAATAACAGTTGAAAAACCATATGCAATACATTCTATGGGGCAAAAATCTGCCGCTGGAGTAGTTCATGTGTGCCTTTGGAAATTGGCTCTGAAATGCAGCCTTTCTCTAATTTGTCTACCTGTGTCCAACCTGTGTCCTTACATTCAAGGTAAGAGAAGAGAGAACTATATGTGATTGCTCACAACTCAAAAGTCTCGAGCATTTCAAATCTTAAGGCAGTTCAGAAAATAAAATTGCCTTTTATTTATTTATAATTATAGTTCATGCTAAAAAGTAGCATGAACTATATATGATTTAGTATCACGAATTTATACTGATAATTAAAATTACTAAAAACAATCATTTTAGAGGACATTTTAACAAATACTTCAGTTACATGTATCTGTGTATCCTTATCAATCATCTTGGTAACTATTTTCATTTTTGTATATTCTCCTATGCATGTAAAAGTATCTTACAAAGTAGCAAAGGTAGTGTTTATACTATTTGATTTTTCTGTTGTTTTCATCTATCATATTAACAGTTTTCCACATTTTAATATACTTTTCGCAATTATATTTTTAACAATTCCATAATATTCCATGATGTTGTATCCCAATTGATTTTTGTTCCACTAATGCTGGACCTGTGTTGGTTTTCGTTGTATTGTGGTTTGGTTTGCATTGGGTTGGGTTGAGTTTTTGGAAAGGAGTGGATTTGGAAAGTGGTGGAATTTTTTGTTTTAGTGTGTGTGTTTTATTTGTTGCTTGCTTTCATAAAGCACACTGTAATGAATAGATCCTACACGTCTTTTGTTTCTGACAAATTTTTTAAGTAAATTCCAAGGTTGAGAAGAGTTGACATAAAGTTTTCCAAACAGTTATAACTTTTTACAGCACCAGCATTCAATGAGTATACTAATTTCACCCTGGCTAAAGGTTACATGAAGCTAAAAATGTTATTTTACATCTAGTGAAATCGTAATTATAAAACAGATTATAAGGGTAATTTATTTTCTTATTAGCAAGAACAAACTTTTTTCTGTGTATTTATGCTCCTCAAGCACTTCCCACCATGGAAAGTTTTTTGCCATTAAGCACCAACATCTTAATGCTTTTTTTACAGGTTTGAGTCCATTTTTTAAAAAGACACTTCTGAATGTACAATAGTTGCTTTCATTCTTCATTTAACCAACTTGCTAAATTTATCAAAGTTCACTCCTTCTGTAAAACATATTACTCCTACCCATAGCATGCTAGTCTTCTGTTCTCTAGAATGCTCCACACTTCTGTTCCCACTAAATAAGATGGAGTTTTATAGAGGTCACTGTGTTTTACCAAACCTGTTTATGACAAGTAACTTGTTATTATAACTGTGATTTCATTAAATTACATGTAAATACTTAATTAAATCACCTACTTTATTTGGACTGAAGATGTGTGTTACTTCCATGAACTAAGTTAAACAATTTGGAAGCTTTTTTTTTTTTTTTTTAGTTTATTGAGACACAGTCTCACTCATCTGCCCAGGCTGAAGTGCAATGTTACCTACCACAAGGGGTCACTGAAGCCTCGACCTCCCTGAAACTCAAGTGATCCACCTGCCTCAGTCTCCCAAAGTGCTGGGATTACAGGCATGAGTCACTGCACCTGGCCTCACTCTATTTTAAAGATTCTGTGGCAGACTGTATTTTCCAAAGATAGCTACAACACTATCTTTTATCCAACAAGTCCTTCTAAACCTTGCCCATTCTCTCCATCGATAGGTACAATCTAATTCCTCTATCTTTGAATTTGGGAGGACTTGAGACTAACCTGGAACCAATAAATGTGACAAAAGTGACACTGCATGACTTGTGAAATTGGGCTGTATTAATAAAAAGTGTTACTGCTTTCACCTGCTCTTTGAAGCACTGGACCTATTGCCCTGAAGCACAAACTCTAATTGGCTTGAGGCAACCAAGTTGTGAGAAAGCCCAGAGCAGCCCACACAACAGGACGCTCTGGAATTACAAGAAGGAGCATGCCCAGCCAGCCGGTAAACAACTGGTCCAGTCCCCAGCACTTTTAGCTTCCATTGCTGTCTGACTGCAACCTCATAGGCGATCCTGAGCCAGAACTACTCAGATGATATTTTCCCAGAATCCTGTCCAGAGAAACCATAAAAGATAATGAAATGATTATAGTTTTAAGCCACTAAGTTTTGGAGTAATTTGCTGAACAGCAATAGATAACCAAACAGAAACTGTAAGTAGAAACCTTGAACAGTGAAACATGATTATGGTTCATACAAGAAAGACAATGAGGAATTCTCATCAGCCTACCTACACTCAAAGTAAAGGCCTTGGTCTCATATGGTGAATGAATGTACAGTTTTGTTGTTGTTGTTTGCTTTCGTTTTTTGTTTTTTGTTTTTTGTTTTTTTTTTTTTGAGACAGAGTCTCATTCTGTCACCAGGCTGGAGTGCAGTGGCACAATCTCAGCTCACTACAACCTCCACCTCCTGGGTTCAAGTGATTCCCTTGCCTCAGCCTCCCGAGTAGCTGGAACTACAGGCACATGCCATCACACCCAGCTAATTTTTTTTGTTTGTATTTTAGTAGAGATAGGGTTTCACCATGTTGGCCAGGACAGTCTCAATCTCCTGACCTCATGATCCGCCTGCCTCAGCCTCCCAAAGTGCTGGGATTACAGGCGTGAGCCACCACGACTGGGTGAACTGTACAGTTTAATAAATCTGGTGAATATGTTTTCAGTCAATAAATACTCAATAAAATATCTACAATATATATCATCCTTAAAAGTTACTTGTTTTAATTTTTTTTTCAAATAACCATTCACCACCTCTGATTAGGCTGGAGAAGAGGGCTATTTCACAGAACACAAAATTTTGCAATTGCAAGAGGCTCAGAAATTCCCCTGAACCCATGAACTCCAGTTTTACCATATGATGAATAATAATAAGGTTTTTTATGTTTATTAATAATCATTTTCTTAAATACCCTACACTTCCAAACAGCTTTTAAATAAATATTTTGGCAAAACTAGAAGCTATACCATGAGGGGAATTACGCAGACGTCAACATACAAAGTCGACTCCTGCTCCACCAGTTGTTAGCTGGTGACTGTGAAGAGACATGACTGGTGACTGTTGCAGTGACTCCCAGGTGCTGGCTGCCAGGAAACTTGGCTTGCTCCAGTTTCCAGAGACTCTCTCTTAGTGAAGAGGACTCTTATTTAGCAGTTCAATGCATCAGATTTTTTACAAGGCATTTAAAAAGGTAACTTGTCTTGCTTGCTTGGCTTGGGTTTTCAACTATTTTGTTTTATTTTTACATGTTGTTTTCAGGCAGAATGTTTTACATACATTTTGCTTACTTCTTTTCAAGTCATGCATAGTGGGAATTTGGACCGATCATCATTCTCAATATCCTGTAGACATGAAAAACCATAAGCCAGGAATATTGGGCCAGCACAATGTAGTATAGTAGTAGCAGTCACTACATATTTCATCCTATATTCAGAAGCCCTGCAGTAACTTTTAAATCCTCATGTGATAAATGTTTTATCGTTAATAAGGTAGAACAGTTTCTTTGCTTTGTGAGTGACACGTATTCCAGGACTATGTTGAGGTCAAGACCTACATCTGTGACACCAAGTCCTCAAGAAGGTAAGTATGGATTTTTTTTACTAGGAATAAGAATTTAAAAGTCAGAGAAATAAGAAAACGTTATGCAGAACATGGTGAAGCACTGATCTAACTCCGCAGCACCTTGCCTTCTTCTGACAGTAGTCTCCTTTCTTAAGTGTGAGCTTATGACCCAGACCCATCACTCTGCCCATCTCTCTGGCCACAATTATGAATTGAGAGATGAAAATGTGACCAAAGGCAGACTATAGTCCTCCCTGGCACATTTCCACCAGAGTTATAAGGAAAGATGGCTTCTTATCCAGCACCCATCTGAAAGAATCTGAATCTGAAGCTGCCAAGAGCCATCTTGCCCACAAAGTGAAGTCTGAAGGAAGAATGAAACCAGAAGCAAGCAGAGCCTAGAGCTAAAAAGATGGGCCCAAATGACATTAGTCAAAGCCTTAGATCCAGCTAATATTTAAAACCAGCTGTAGGTACCCAGGACTCCACAGTTACATGAAAAAGATAGACTTACTTTTTTGCTTAAGCCTAAGTTTGACTTTGGTTTCCGTCACCTACAACCAAAATATCTGACCGTGGGAAGAATAAATAGGGTTATCTTTCAGGAGACTGATGACAAACTCCAAAGCAAATTCTAAAGAAATAAAAATCTCAAAAATATAGGCTTAATGGTTTTCTTTTTATATGTGAAGGATAACCCGTGGCCTCGGAGTAACAGGAAACCTAGAAAGCTATTGGGTTTCTTACCTTGACAGCTGTAGATTGAGTTATGACTTTCAGCGGTTGGCCATGTGCACTGGCACCTGGATCATGGGGCCATATTGTCAGCAGTCCATCACTGCAGCCACTGGAAAGCAGCCTGCCATCCGGTGACCACTTCAGAGCACACACAGCTTGCTTGTGGTGAAGTGTTCCAACATGATGCTGGGCCACCCGAACATCATGATGATAGACATGCCCCAGTCTTGACCCACTGCAAGTTTACGTAACAAAAAAATTAAGCCCTGTTGCTGCATAAACATTTGAAAATATGAGGGAAGGATAGTTCAAAGTAAAACTTCTGAAGGACCCCTAGGACAGATTCAAAACACAGGTGGAGATTCCTTGGGTTAATAAGGATGGCGTGTTCTGCCTAGAGGATTCTTTTCACAAGTGAAATCAATTTGGCTGGCAGAATTTGAAGTCTGGAATTAAAAAGTATCCTTTGGTAGATGTTTCTAATTACTTTAATCTGATGTAGGCAGCCATGGAAAAATAAGCTGAGATTACTAGATTTTCCCAAGTAGTAGTTTATATACTGGACCTAGGAAATATTAATAATACTTTTCTGCAACTTTGACTATTTCAGATTATCTTGATGAAATGGTTTCAGTATATATTTATAGTAAAATGTTAGACACAGAAAAGGAAATAAATTTCTAATAGGTAGATTCCTATTAACCTATAGATCCACTCTTAGTTTTGCTAGAGGTACTAATACGTGAAAGACATTTAAAACCAACGGAATAGCCATGCACGGTGACTCACACCTGTAATCCCAGTACTGTGGGAGGCCGAGGTGGGCAGACCATGAGGTCAGGAAATAGAGACTATCCTGGCCAACATGGTGAAACCCCATCTCTACTAAAATACGAAAAGTTATCTGATCGTGGTGATGTGTGCCTGTAATCCCAGCTACTCAGGAGGCTGAGGAAGGGGAATCACTTGAACCTGGGAGGCAGAGGTTGCAGTAAGCCAAGAGCACACCACTGCACTCCAGCCTGGGGACAGAGCAAGACTCCGTCTCAAAAAAAAAAAATAGAATGTCACAGCAAACTGCAATATGATTCCTAATCAGTGGATAATGTCTCTATCCACACTCACTGAATTTGAATCTAAACAACAAAGGATCACATCACTTTTTCAAAGATAATGAACTCTTTCTGGACTATTTTAATTTTCTCTAAGGAATAAGTAAATGACGTTCCACAATTATATTAGATATTTCTCAAAGTCCAGTGTCACACTGTTTAAAACTATGCAGGCTCAATGCTGAACAGCATTCCAATTAACAATATGGACTGGAGCCAGACCAGCTGGGTTATTCCAACTCTTTCCCTTACTAACCATGTGACTTCAGGCTAGTGTCTCAGTTTACTCATTTGAAAAAATAAAATTGAGGATAAGAGATCACCTTATCACATTACTGCAGTGATTAAAATGAAATTACACACATAAAAAGTATAGCACAGTTCATGGCACGGAGTAGTTTGAAAATGTCAGCTGCTATTATAAGAAAGGATCTCTTCATTGTCCTCGTGGATAATAAAACTAACCTTTAACAATGCAGACTGGAAAAGGAACTTGAGTACATAATTAGCTGCAACAACTAAGTTGTTTTAACTCTGGCCAAAATTGCAAGGTATTCAAATCTCAGGTTTACATCAGATTACTTAAATACATTGTAAAATTCTTTGGGATTTATCTACCTTAAGTCTACCTTAAAGAACTACAATACGAAAATGAATAAAAATTTATTCATTCATTAAAAATTCATTTTTAATGAATATGATTAAAAGCAATATATACTTAGACCAAGTATGTAGGCTCATAGGAACATGTCAATTTTTCTGGTTAAAAAGAAGCAGTTAAACTAAATCATTAGTTCTCAAAGTGATGCATCGTCAGCAACACTTCGGAAATGAGAAATGCAAATTATCAGCCCCTTGAGACCTAATGAATCTGAAGTCCTTCAAGTGAAGCCAGCAGTCTGCATTTTAAGGAGCCCTCCCGGTGATTCTCATGCATGTTCAAGTTTGAGAACTACTGAACAGGATGATCTACGAGGTTCCTTCCGCTCTAATTTCTGTGGGTCTGTGTATTGGAAATGTGCTCCAGAGAGCTTAACATATTCCATAGTATAGATACTGACAGCAATAAATACTTGATTTCAGAAAAAATCCATTTAGTACATATTACTTGGTGCAAAAAAAAAAAAAACGTTTTACTTGAAGGGAGTTTTACATTTTATCTGAGCAATTTAGTGAATCCCATGCAGAAGGTACACATTGTGCATGTGGCCACTAAGACACTTACATCACCAACAGATCTAAACACCTGAGGGGTGGGATCATGACTGATACTAAGTTTAATGGCCTATTTTGTCTCCAACAAGATACGTCTTACCTGCTAAGGATAAAGTGATTCCAGCTCAGACTCCCAACTACTGACAAATGACCAAGCATATTTCTCAGCTGCTTTTTAGTTACCGCATCCCATAACTGAAAAAATAAACAAGGAGTTATGTAGCATCGGCGTTTTCACAGCCCTCTGTCTTCACAAAAGCCTGAGAGCCAATCACTGTGGATATTGTTAGTTTTTGTACTAAGTGATAAACCCAGCACCTCTAGCCAGCAGTTCTCAATTCTGACTGTGTATTAGGATCAGCTGGGGAGTCTGTAACACACTACGAATGCTGATTTAGTTGGTGGAGTAGAGCCTCGAGATATGGCAGATATTTTAAAGCTCCCCAGGTGAATTCAGTGTGCAGCCAATTACCACATTTCTAGCACCTTCTAAATTGTGAGAATTTCAAATCTGGAAATCTATCTACAGTTACCAATAAATGTATTAATAAAATGTGGGTGCCTGGACACTTCCTAGAATCAGAAAGTCCACTTACTGCTAAGAGACTCCTTTCCTGCCAGCTACAGATAATAGTCTGATCCACATGGGAAATGACAACTTTGGTGTAAGAAGAAATCATGACAGAGACTTCACAGGACTCATCATCATTGGAGAGATGAGAAAGCAGTGAGAGAGCCACCTATGGCCCTCCTAAATCATCTAGCACATGAGTGATATTGTTTATTCTACTGGTAATAAAAATAATAATAATGATACATGAGAAATTAGATAAATCAATGGAAACTTGGTAAATCCTCATCTCAAAGAGTCTATCAGAAAAAAAAAATCAAACATTTTCTATAACTGTACTCTGAATCATGGCTTCAGGTGAAAAGGGAGAACTGAAAAGTATCTTCCTCTCTCCAAAGCTCCAAAACTGGAGATTCTACAAGCCCAACTTTAGTTTCAGAGAAAATATATTTTTAAAAGAAGGAAATATGACAGAAAGATTGTGATAGAAACTAACCAGAGTATCCTTAAGTCTTCATTAAAAACCATTCAGAAAAAAAAAAAAGCAGAATGTCATCTCCTCTTACTCCCCATTGCTCAAGTGCCACACTTAGTTTCTCTATTTTACATTAAATTGGTATTAAAAGTCAATTATAGTCTAGTAATACACAGAGAACATGATGAGAGAAAAAAAAAACTGGCCAGTACTTGTACTTCTCCCTCACTGGTGCCAACTGCCAGGCAAGTTCCATCTTTTATCCAGGACACAGAAGAGATATAGTTACAAGTGAGACTTAAGTCTATGTTTTCAATCACATTGCGGTTCTCCCCATTCCAGATGTATACAGCAGATCCCAGGGCTATGGCAACAAGATTCTGATAATTCCAGTCTAGGAGATTCAGGTCTATAAGAAAAGCATTTCAAGTTAGGATAATTATACAGCCAAATGAAAATACATTCAAATAAACAACTTTATAGGTAGGGAGAAAAGACTAATACCATCCCCACGGTTAGCTGGAAAACAGAAACATGGAACAAAGAAAATCCTTAAAAGTTCAAAAATGAAAACTGGAATATAATCTGGTGTCAACACTCACAGTCTAACAAGCAATAATGCTTATTATTTACACTGAAATATACTTATTTAGAGGCATTTAAAGAACTTGGCAGATTACCATTATTAGTACATGTAGACTTCATTTAACAGATCACTAAAAATTAAAAGCATATAATTCTCATGGAGACCCTTGGACCTAGGATGTCTATAAGAGATGCCACTATCATTTCTAACCAAAAACACCACCCAGCTAGAAGTGGTGGTGGTTCATGTATGATACCTAGTCATTCTCAACAGTATTCTATAGCTTATACTAATAAGAACCCTTTGACTGCTAAGAGAAAACGTGTTTGTATGACCATTTATTAAAATATACCCTATCTTATTTCTTATCAGAAACTCCTGACTGACACGTATCAATATAAAACTATACAGCACACCAGTTTCACTACAGTAGTTTAAACACCTACAATACATTCCGTCCCCCTGATAAATATAAACTCTGAATGAAATATAAAAAACAAACACCTGGAGACCCTGGAAAGTAAGAAAAAGGAGTAAACTAAGTAAGGGAGTCAAGAAGCAACCTGCCAGAGGTCAGTTTCCTACTTTTCTTCTTTCACACCTTTGCCCTAAGGAGAGGCCCCAGACATGGAGCAGCCCCTCCAGCTAAGACTCTGTTGGAAAAGCCACCATCTTTCTGATCAGAGAAACCAGGGAAAGGAGCATGAGGCATAGAACTGATGTCAGTATGAGGGGAAGGTCCTAGACACAAGAAGGCCAAAAGAAAGAAACCCTCAGATTGTGAGCATATTAATTCACACACATCTCAGCCTTACCCTTAAATCATTTACATGCAGAAAAGACTCAAATTAGATTAGCAAAGGCTTTAAGAAATGAACTGAGATTTGAAACACCCATACAAGTCTCAGCCTAGGCTCTGATCCACATATATGAGATACAGATCCAAACCAGCATAGTCATTTTAAGAAAGTGATCTAAGATTTGAAACACCACCCCCAAATGGCAAGACAAAACTTAAAATGTGAACCTAACTAGAACAAAAACAATATTCTCCTCAGGACCCAGTGACGATAACATAACATCTACAATATCCAGACACAGTTCAAAATTACTGGGTAAATATAAAGGTAAAACATAATCAATAGATGAAAACTCCAAGGTGACCTAGGTACAGAAATAATGACATGAAGACTTTAAAGCAGCCAATATATTCTCCACGAAGTGAAGAAAAACACACATGAAGTGAATGAAAATTCATATGAAGCTTTAGCAGATAAATAGAAAAATCGAAAGTATTTTCTAAATAAATAGAAACCATAAAATGAAACTATAAAATGGAAATCAAATACACAAAAACCACAAAACATAAACTTTAAAATTGAAAAAAATATATGAAAAATTCCTTGGATAAGTTCAATAGCAGGATAGCAGTGACAGAGGAAAGAGTAAACTTGAATATAAATTTTTAAAATTAATCAATCTGAAGAATATGGAGAAAAAAATGTTAAAGAATGAAGTCTCAGGGACTCGTGGAATAATATGCAAAAATCTAACACATGTGTAAGTAGAATCAGGTCTTAGAGGCAGGATAACAAGATTTCCGATGACCATGGGGTTCCCACAGACACCATGGAGGCCAGAGTCAGATTTAAAAGATGTTTAAAATCCGGTGTAAGCTGGATGCTTTAGTTTAAGCTACACTTTGATTCGTCCAAGTGCACTTTCCAGTATGCTTACCATGTTATGACTTATCCCCTCTATATCAGCGTGTAGTGGCTTATTGTTAATGTACTTTTATGTGATGTTTGAGGAGGGTGACGGGCGGTGTGTGCATGCTTAATGGCCTTGTTTCAATCAAGCTCTCTATTCTTGATTTACTGCTAAATCCACCTTAGACCCTTAGATTTCATAAAGGCTATTTTGTAGTTTTTCTAACTTAGAAAATGTAGCCCATATCTTCCCACTTCATTGGCTGCACCTTGACCTAACGTTTTTATGATGATACTTCTGCTTACTTTACGATCTTAAAGGAGTTTGCTGAAGATGGTAGTATACAGGCTGAGGGCAAGAGGTGGTAAGGTTGATCGGGGTATATCAATTATAGAACAGGCTCCTCTAGACGGATGTAAAGCACTGCCAGGTCCTTTGAGTTTCAAGCTATAGCTTGTAGTGTTCTGGCGAATAATTTTGTTGATTAAGTTATTGAGGTTTAGGGCTAAGCATAGTGGGGTATCTAATCCCAGATTGTACCTTAGCTATAGTGTATTCAGGGTACTAAAGCCACTTTCGTAGGATATTTTACCATAACTGGGGTTTTCTACGACTTAGTTATATGTTAGCTTTATTGGGAATAAAATCTTAAACACTCTTTATGCTGGGCTCTATTAACTCAAGTCAATCGTATGGCTGCAGTGGCTGGCACGAAATTGACCAACTCTAATGGTCAGTGTAACTTAAACTTTCATTCATTGCTAAAAGTTTGTCACTGCTGTTTCCTGTGGAGGCATGGCTAAGCAAAGTGTTTTGAGCTGCAGGTGCATGTGCTTGATACTCGCTCCTCATGTTCTGATAATCTAGAGGGCATTTTCACAGGGCTGTGGATGCTTGCATGTGTAATCTCACTGAGAGCTAATAAAAAGGCTAGGACCAAACCTATATGTTTATGGGGTGATGATTACCCATCTAGACATATTCAGGTGTCTTGCTTTAAATATTAAGCTACATTAACTTGATAAATACTTAAATAAATATATAGTGGTGGGCTCATGTAGGTTTAAAATCTAACTTACTACTATATTAGTATAAGTATGTTTCCTAAAGGGCATGGTTTGAGGTATGTGGGGAGTAACCACACGCAGTATTATCTATTGGTATATAGGGTAATTGTAGGGCGTATATGTTTTCCAGGTAGTAGGACTTGTATTAGTAAATAATGTTAGTAGTGAGATGCCTCTTTATGGTATCTGCCTCAGAAAATACGGATTGTGCTTAAGGTTTTGGGTATATATATATATATATATATATATATATATTTGGTTGTTGTGGTGGTGTTGGGTTTAATTGGGTACAAATACTAGTTAATTATTTAATATGTCCTGTAACCATTGACTGAATAACACCTTAGTGGTCGGGATGGGGGCCAAAACATTCAATATAGATGCGATTATAGCATAAAGTCTGGCAAAGCACATTCAGGTACCACAGGAAGGTGGTTGGGATACTTCCAGAGCCTCCCAGCAATGCTGATGATTACACCTCCTTAAACTACCAAAGGCCCATCGTGCACCCATGATTGAGTTAAGAGGGTGATAGCACCACACCATCGTGATGTCTTATTTAAGTGGAACATATGTGCGATCTTAATGGGATGATGGCCCTGAGGTAGCAACCAAATGCCAGATAGAGTTTCAGTATAACCAAGCCCTGTCTATATGGGCCCGGAGCGAGAAGAGCGGCACATGTGGGTGGGTTGCTGGTTTCACGGAGGATGGTAGATTAAGAGACCAAATATAATGATGGATATCCATGGTTAGAAGGACTGTCGAAGCATGATGTGCTATATCCAGTTAATGACTTAATGTACGGATGTACAGTCAATGATATTATGTACTAGATAATATCTGTGTGCTTTCTATACTTTTATGTGCTTCCTGGATTCGAATGTACTATGGTCCAATGTAGAATTATAGTTCTTGCTTATAAGCAAGCCTTGTGATGTTTTAATGCACGTTTTGGTCTGATGTACTATGTATAGTTAAGCATTTGTAGTACTAAGTGTTATTTATTGGGGCAAGCAATAATGTACTAATTACATAATAAGAGTGATGATATTATATTATATGTACTTACAAAGTACTTCATGGCTAAGCCTTCAATGATATAAAAATTAATCAGTTATTCAGGGAATAGTTTAAGATTAGAATTTCAGCTTTGGGTGTTGATGACAGAATTAGATATTCTTTCCCTGATTGTCCTGGGGAGTAGATGCTCTCCATTTCTGGTTTATAAGACCGGGGTATTAAATTATACTACAAGGACGTTTATCATTTAAGTAGTTTGTTTTCAATTAAAGCGGAGAGGGGAATTAGGGTAATGATAATAAGGAAGTAAATAATGGATGCAGTTTGGCCAATAGTTACAAAGGGGTATTCGATTGGTTGACCCCTGATTCATGTGAGTGTAAGTAGTTTGGCTACTAGGGTTCAGAACAGGATTTGTGTGATTGGTCGGAATGCTATGCTTTGTTGTTTGGATAAATGTGTTACAGGGATAATTATTAGAATTAGGATAGAGAGTATCCTTTAAAAGATGTAAAACATCTTTTAAATGCTGGGGCTAGAGGGTAGTGGTGGATCTTTCAACCTAGAATTTAATATCCAGCAAAAATCTCATAAACTGGAAGATGGAAAATCTAACAGAAGTCTGTGCCAACAGACCTGATCTGCAAGAAATGCTTAAGGAAGCTCTTCAGGCTAAAGGGACATTACATGAAAGAAACTTGGATCTTCAGATATGAAGGAGAACACTGAAATTGGTAAATAGTTGGGTAAACATAAGGAGCCATTTTTCCCTCTTAAGCTATTTAAATACTTTTTAAATTTTAAAACATTTACACCTGGACAGTTTTCAGTATATGTAAATATAAAATGCATGATAGGCCAGACGCAGTGGCTCACACCTGTAATCCCAGTACTTTGGGAGTCCAAGGCGGGAGGATCGCTTGAGCCCAAGGAGTTCAAGATCAGCCTGGGCAACAAAGTAAGACCAAAAAAATCAAAAGATTGCCTGGGCATGATGGTATGTGCCTGTGGTCCCAGCAACTTGGGAGGCTAAGGTAGAAGGATCACTTGAGCCCAGGAAGTAGAGGCTGCAGTAAGCCTCTGCAGCCTCCAGTCTGAACCAGTACACTCCAGGCTGGGTGACAGAGTAAGAAGACCTTGCCTCAAAGAACAATAACAAGCAAACAAACACATGACAACTACAGTAATCTAAAAAGCAGTTTGGGAGTTGGAGAGACCTATGTGATTGCAAGGTTTTTATATATTGTGTTAAGTGTACAATAGTAACTCTATGTAGACAAAGAAAGTTTAAATTACATTGTAATTCCTAGAGCAATGATGACAAAATACAATACAAATAGATATAGCCAAAAAACTAAGAGATCAATTAAAATAGAACAGAAGAAAAAAAAGAAAAGATGTCCAAAGAATAAGCCTTGGGTCCTCCAACATTTAGAGGTCAGGGAAATGGAAGAGAAACACAAATCAGCAAAAAAGGATGAGAAAGAGTGAACAAAAAGACACTCTTGGACAAATCCCTAAAGATTGGGAAAGCAAGAAGGAGGGATTGATCAGCTGTCTCAAATATAGTTGATAGGGTTCAGTATGAGGTCTAAGAAGTAACTGTTGGATTTATCAATGAGGAGTTCTTTGGTAATGTTTGGAAAAGTAGTTTCAATTGAATGATGAGACTTAAAACTTGACTATCGTGGAGTTGAGACAATGTGAGGAGAGAAATAGAAAATTATGAGTATAAAGATATTTTGAAAGTTTTACTGTCAAAGAGAGGAAAGAAAGAGGGCTGTGCAGCCAGGTGTGGTGGTTCACGCCTATAATCCAAGCACTTTGGGAGGCCAAGACAGAAGGATCACTTGAGGTCAGGAGTTTGAGACCAGCCTGGCCAACATGGTGAAACCCTGTCTCTATTAAAAATACAAAAATTAGCGGGGCATGGTGGCGCACGCCTGTAGCTACATGCCCAGCTACTTGAGATGCTAAAGCACAAGAATCACTTGAACCCAGGAGACAGAGGCTGCAGTGAGCTACTGCATTCCAGCCTGGATGACAGAGCAAGACCCTGTTTCAAAAAAAAAGAAAAGAAAAGAAGGAAGGAAGGAAGGAAAGAAGAAGGCTGTGGCTTAAAGGAAAAATGGGAATGAAAGTGGTTTCTTTTTAATATGAGTGCAATGGTTTTTTAGTATATGTTTAAAATGCATTTCCCTTAGTTGGTCATGACAATAAATTCTCTTGGAGAATGAGCTGAAGTAATAGGAATTTGCCTTTTCCAGATCATGCCTCTTTATAGATATTCCACAGAGCCCAGGCCTCTTCCCTCTGCTCCTCTCTCCCTCACCTAGGGAGCTCACACTGGCTCCTGGCTTCAATCATCACTAGTCCAACCTCTTTTCAACTACCAGCATCATTTCAAATATTCTGCCAAGCTTCTTCTATGTCTTATTGACTCCTTTAATGTAATATTCAAGCATAGTCTTTCCTCTCCAAATCACCTCCTTTGCCGATCTGTCTTCTCAGTGACACCACCCTTCTCCTGCTTCAAAAACTTGGAATAATCATAAATTCATTTCTTATCGCATTTCTTTTCTACATGGAAGAAAAATAAGCCTTTACTCTTTGGCAGCTCTTTCCTACTAAGTGCATTCTGCATACTCTGTCATGAATTTTCCTTTGATGTTTCTCTTAGTAAACAACTCCCAAAACAAATCTAAATTTCTAAATTTGAATTTTTCTCCATAACCTGTACCCACCAGTACCTACTTATTCACCAGTCCCCAATGTGTCTTCTTCATTGCAATTAAATATCATTGATTACCAACATCCTACCTTCATCATGCTGTTAACAATACCAAAAATGGTCCTTCTCCTCTATACCCTTCTGAGTCTAACAACCTTTCAAGACCCAGCTTAAGTATAAATATCTCCACAAAGCCCTTCTGAACACCAAAGCTCACTGAGCTCCTCGAGTCTTTATAGCTCCTTATATCCCATAATTTATTATTTATAATCTACATTGGCATACTGGTATCAGTTCATGTCAGTTAGTCCTGTCCTCCAAACTAGATTACAAACTAGGCACATAACAAGCAGACCCAGTGCAGTTGTTTGCCTAATTCAATTTACCCATATTTAAAATACATACATAAGAATAGATCATTAGTACAGGTCTTTCTAATACAGTAACATAAAATGCATATTTCCCACACCATGCCATCATTAACAATACCCGCTCCTGAATATGAAAGTTGCACTAGGAAAAGTCTAGTATATTAGCCATAGTTGGATGTTACACTATTTGGGTATGAGTCATAAAGACCATCTGGTTTAATTAAATTTCAACTTTATGCCAGAGCACAGGATGCATTTTGTCATTTCAACTTTTCAATTCCCAATCTAAATGATAACTTACAGTAGTCATTTCGGAGACCAGTAAGATGAATCTTTACCTCTGGTTGGAGTATGGAATAGTTTATATCACTGGACCTTTTAAGATGAAAGGATTCATCTCTGACTCCATCTTTGCAGCCTATAAGAAACAAACACTTCTGCATAGCTCTATGATCCTGCAAATATAATATTTATTCTCATGGGTATTAAGAAACATCATTAAGTGGAAAAGGTTAATTAAGTGGAAAATAAGTAGTCATCATGATAAAACTACAGGACAAAGAGCCAGGGAAGGAAGGAAATGAAGAGCACGTCAGTATTAATTTAAACAAGAATATTAAAATTTCTTCCAGTGACACTTTCTAATAAAAAGCACATGCATACAGACCTGAATATAGATTGCAGATCTTGCAGGGAGTACACAGAGATACTACATCATGCTTTGAATACTTATTCTGTTATTTGGTATTTTAAAACCAAATTGAATTTTGCTTGTCCACATGACTATGACACCAAGACTTACCTGATATACCAAAGCCCTACTCTGAGACTTTATCAATAAATATTTATTGATTCATTGATTTTAATTTAGCTCTTTCTCTCAGTATTTCAGTACCAGAGCATATGGGGTTACTACTTTCGGTTAATTTTACTCATGACTATCTGAGGTCTATCGTTTGTTCAGTTCTCATCAAAAGACCATACTAAATTCAAACCACAGGGCACTGCCTTTTCATCTCCAACCACTCAGCTTGTGATCAAACTGAGAATGATAAAATCAGAAGAAACCAAGACCACTCAGGTGACTTGTAGTGTCTGACCAGATGGCTTCTAATAAAAGCATGAGAACTTCACAATGCTATACCAAGAAACCAAATTGTTACTCATAAATTCCTGCTTCTGTGTTAGCTATGAAAACCTGCAGTTGAGGGCGGAACTGCAAGGTTACTAAAAACACTTAGGCTTGCTGATAAAGTATCACTAAGGTTAAAAAAAAAATCAATATCCAAAGAATGAACAAAAATCTCCTGGGGCTGGGCACAGTGGCTCACACCTGTAATCCCAGCACTTTGGGAGGGTGAGGCAGGCAGATTGCCTGAGCCCAGGAGTTTCGAGACCCACCTGGGCAACATGGTGAAATCCTGTCTCTACAAAAAATACAGAAATTGGCCGGGTGCAGTGGCTCATGCCTGTAATCCCAGCACTTTCAGAGGCCGAGGTGGGCGGATCAAAAGGTCAGGAGTTCGAGACCAGCCTGGCCAATATGGTGACGTCTCTACTAAAAAAATACAAAAATTAGCTGGACATGGTGGCAGATGCCTGTAGTCCCAGCTACTTGGGAGGCTTAGGTGGGAGGACTGCTTGAGCCAGGAGCTCAATGTTACCATAGTTGCACCACTGCACACCAGCCTGGATGACAGAGTGAGGCTCTGTCTCTTAAAAAATAATAAAAATAAATAAAGAAACCTTAAATGTATATCACTAAGTGAAAGAAGACAATCTGAAAAAAACTATATACTGTATGATTCCAACTATACAACATTCTGTAAAAGGAAAAACTATAGATACAGTAAAAAAGTTTCTATAGGAAGGAGAGAGATAGATGAGTAAAAAAAGCAGTGAAGATTTTTAGGGAAATGAAACTCTTCTGTATATTATCATAGTGATACATGTCATTATACATTAGTCAAACCCATTGAATATATAACATCAAGAATTAACTGTCATGTAAACTAAGGACTTTGAGTGATAATGATGTGTCAATGTAAGTTCATTGATTGTAACAAATGTACCACTCTGGTGCGAGATGTTAACAGAGGCTGTACGTGTGTGGCGACAGGCGATAAAAGGGAACTCTGTACCTTCTGCCTAATTTTGCTGTGAACGTAAAACAACTCTAAAAAATAAAGCGTGGGCTGGATGCGATGGCTCACACCTGTAATCCCAGCACTTTGGGAGGCCAAGGCAGGTAGATCACCTGAGGTCACGAGTTCGGGACCAGCCTGGACAACATAGTGAAACCCTGTCTCTACGAAAAATACAGAAATTAGCTGGATGTGGTGGTGGGCACCTGTAATCCCTGCTACTCATGAGGCTGAGGCAGGAGAATCACTTGAACCTGGGAGGCGGAGGTTGTGGTAAGCTGAGATCACACCAGTGCACTTCAGCCTGGGTAACAAAGCGAGACTCCATCTCAAAAATAAAATAAAATAAATAAAGAGTGTGTGTGTGTGTGTGTGTGTGTGTGTATACATATATGTGTGCATATACATATATGTGTGTGTGTGTATATAATATAGAGAGAGAGAGTCTCCTAGGATATCAGAATAATGTAGGTACATTATCTCTGGCTTCATAGAAGATATATTTTTTAATCTAAGTCAAATATTTAGCACCTTACAGAAACAAAAACTTGTTGCTTACAAGATGAGAGAGCTGAGGAAACACATATCCCAATATATTTTATTTTGCTTTTAAGAAAATATTCTAAGGTTCATGCCCTCATCCCCACCATACATTCCCAACCCCTCAAAAGAACATTTAGAAGGCCTAAAATTTTGTGCCTATTTTTATGCATCTAACTCAATTTTTTCCCCCTTTTTACTGCTGGGAAACAGATGCTTGAGGAATAAACATGCACAAAGTTCTAGATAGAAGTTTGTCCAACCTGAAGCCTGCGGGGCACATGTAGCCCAAGAGGGCTTTGAATGCAGCCCAACAAAAATCCATAAACTTTCTTCAAACATTATGAGATTTTATTGTGATTTTTTTTTATAGCTCATCATCTATTGTTAGTGTATTCTATGTGTGGCCCAAGACAGTCCTTCTTCCTCCAATGTGGCTCACAGAAGCCAAAAGATTAGAAACCCCTATATCTAGAACTTAAAAGTGTGTATCTATGTATTGTCTACATAATTTTTAAAAGAAATTTTCCAAAAACATTTTAAATAAAAAATTAGGACACGCTGTGAACAGTGACTCATACCTGTAATCCCAACACTTTGGGAGACCAAGTCAAGTGGATCACTTGTGGTCAGAGTTCGAGACCAGCTTGGGCAACATGGTGAAACCCTGTCTCTACTAAAAGTACAAAAATTAGACAGGCATGGTGGCACAGGTCTATAATTCTTACTACTTGGGAGGCTGAGACCGGAGAATTGCTTGAACCCAGAAGGTGGAGGTTGCCGTGAGCCATGATCACAGCACTGCACTCCAGCCTGGGTGACAGAGCAAGACTTCATCTCAAAAAAAGAAAAATAAGACAAGCTGAGGCATGACAATCCTTTGTACCCAGGAGGAAAAGGCTGCAATGAGCCAAGATCACACCACTGCACTGCAGCCTGAGCAATATAAAAAAAAAAAAAGTAAACTGCTAATATTGGTAAACTGCTATTTCTTGCCGTCAAGTCTAAAATCACAAGAAATAGCAGTTTACCAATATTATTTGGAAAATAGATATAAATACCCCGGGGGACAGCTGGAAGAGCTAAAGGTAGTCATCCCTAGAGAATGGGAACTTGGGGGCTGGGGGTAGTTAGAACGGAGGATTATGAGAATTATCCAAATTTTACAATTATGTTGATTTAGTCTAGTAAATATTTAAAATAGTGTATTTTAAAATTAGGAAGAAATGAGGGAGGCAGAGAGAAGGGTAGAAAAGAAGGGCAATGTCTTGAGCCTGTACCTTTCCAAACACACTGGGATTGCTCACAGAGCTGCATTTTTCCATTAGCCTGCTGAACCACCTTCTGGGTTACAAAAAGTTGTTTTAAGCATTTCTGAAAATAAACATACATAAGGAGAATACTTCTTTAGAAACCTATATGTACAACTTAGATGTGATGTATAATATAGATTTACAACTGATAATTCACTAGGAGTTCAAAGATTCCACATTGTCAAAGGCAACACCACAATAATCACTATTATTTATTAACTAAACACTATCTAACGAACAGTGCTGAGCATTTTACATATATTATTTCTAATCTCCTCAACAACTCCAAAAAGCAGATAGTTTTCAGCTAGAATAAAATCTTTTTTTATTCTTCTAGCCTAAAAATCCATTTAGCCTATACAGCATAGGTCAGTGACATCACCAAAGCCTGCCACAACTGAACTGCCATGACATTTCTAGTACTCTCTGAAATTAAAAGGCCTCCATGAAATAATAAAGTTGAGCATTCATAAGATAACATTTTGCAAAAAGGGTTTGTTTGAGGGAATGGCTGTCAGTACGCAATCCAAAGACCTTCCCACAGCTTGTTACTGAGATTGTCTCTGGGCCTCAATTTTTCTCACCTGTAATGTTTGAATTGAACTCATCATCTTAAAAGTCTTTTTCTGCTAACACCTTCACAGAGATTTTAGTAAGTTTACTAAGATTCCACGTGCACAAAAATCTGGGTGCTATCTCTTTGGGCCAATATATAAAGAGCACTCCTGACAACCTTACATCCAACTTCAATCAAAAACATCTAGGAAAATTAGTAATAAGTGGAAAGAAAAATGCTTGTTAAAAAAACAGTAATGAATGGTTAAAGCAGAGAAGATTCTGTTTTACTTCTTCACAACAAAATATGTGCATGTATGACAAACCCTGTGTCAGGTTCATGACTACGCCAAAGGTCATGTTGAGGTCTGGAGGGAGTGGGTGGATGAGCAGAAAGAACACTTGGGGGCCATAGGCAGGTGAATGATTTTATTCAGCAGCAGCTCTCATCAACAGCTTTCTTACACTAACTCTCTTCACTTTTCACCTTTAGCTCGGCTGCTTAGTTCGGCAGCCCCCACACACAGCCGCTAGGCTAACTCTCCCTTGCCTTCAGGGAGCTTAACACTCTCTCTCTGGGCAGAAGCGAGCCCAGCTGTGTCCTGGCTCCCCCAATTCATCTGTAAAGACGGACAGCTCTGGCTTTCTCTCTTTTTCTCCAGGTGCCAGCTCCTGCAGTGTCAACAGGGCAATTACACCTTTTGCAGACAATGAGGGCTTAGAGCCAAGTGATGGCCTTCCCTATGTTATGCGGTGGTGATGAGCTTCTCTATGTTATGTCTGCATGGCTATGACAACAAGTGGAGTTATGCACCTGTGCTCTAGACTCACTGAGTCATGCAGAATGTAAACATCCTACCTCGGCCTATCCTTGACCAAAGCACAGCCATGTTCCTTACACACTGTGTCCCCACAGTTCAGAGAGAAGTCTCTCTGACAGACTACATTTTGGTATTTTTTTTTCTTCCTTGATGTTATGTCACATAATAGGCAATGCTGTCAATGAATCATGGTTTTTAATTATTCAAGGTAGAACAACTAACTATAAAGCAGGGTTTCCCAATCTTGGCTCTATGGGCATTTGGCAGCAGATAATTCATTGCTGTGGGAGCTGTTCTGTGCATTGTAGGATGTTTAGCAGTAACCTAGGCCTTCACCCACAAGATGGTCTTCCCCAGAGTTGTGACAATCAAATGTCTTTCAGATATTGCCAAATGCCCCTTGATGAGCAAAATCACCCAGAGTTGAGAACCATTAGTAGAAAATAACATTCCTAAAATGGCCTGCTCATCAGTAGTTCAATGAACTCTTCACACACTCACTTCTTCAGAATCCCACAGTCACCACAAAGCTGATTACAGCAAGGTTTAGCATGCACTTCTGCTCTGTGGGTGCAGGGGTGCTCTTTCCTAGATGAGATCTCCTTCTACTTTAATCAGCAACTTAATATGGAGCTCCTGGAAGATGAATTCTGAAAGTCTCCACGGCTATGCAGGCCTCGTGGTGGAAACACCCTCCAGATGATCAGTGAGGACCACATGAAGATATACATTTACTCTGCAGGAGAAAGACCTCGCTTTGTGTCTTCACCACTCTTGATGCTATCTGACTGCTAACTAATCATGACCAAAAAAAACTGCTCAGCTTAAGATCATAGAACAGCTTCTATTATCCCCTGACCAGGTTCTTCAGTGATGCTGGGGTGACATTCTAACTGGTATAACAATTGCCAAGGAGTATCTTGCCAACGCCATCATGAGCCCACAGACAGAGCCACCAACCTTGCTGCCACCAATTACCTGAAAGGAGAAGGGGAAGGAAAAGGGAAGTACTAAGGGATAAAGAATCAAAAACTCTAATCAGCAGTAAAACATGGAGAAGACAGGAGTGTTAAGAATCTGGCCCAGGTTTGAGACCACCAGTGCCCCCTAATTATCTCAGTAGGACTTCCTGGCCACTCCCTATCCCCCAAACCCATACCCACCTATGAAGCATGGATCTTCTTAAACATAAGAACTCACACCATGAAAACCCTAGAAGAAAACCTAGGCAAAACCATTCAGGACATAGGCACAGGCAAGGACTTCATGACTAAAATACCAAAAGCATTGGCAACAAAAGCCAAAATAATCAAATGGGATTCAATTAAACTTAAGAGCTTCTGCAAAAAAAAAAAAAAAGAAGAAGAAGAAGCATGGATCAAAATACCTGCTCTAAAACATTCATTTCCAATTGCATGTGAGTTCAGGTAACTAAAATTTATATTTACAATATTTTATTATTCTTCTAGCAAAATAGTCAAGCACGGTAAGAGGTATACACTGAATAAGTAATTTTGCCTAAATTGAGAATTTATGACTTTTCTAGTTCAAAGCTTTTGAACTGAAACATTGGTTCCTTCAAAGACTCCCCATTGGATTTGATAAACTCAAAAACATGCTATTGATATTTAATGTGCCCAAATGATTTATATCAGCTTCCTAAGATCTTAAAACTATAATAAGCAAGAGATACCTAAATGTAATAAATGTACTTAACCAAGAAAAAACAAACAACAAGAAAGGCTTAAGGGAAATATTTAAAAGACCATCATATAGAGCAGTAATTTAACTTTTCCTAAAAGACCCCAAAGGACAGATCACATCATCAAATAGTTGGAAATGATGACAGCAAGAGCTCCTTGAGCTAACGGGAAGCATACCATCATAAGTATAATGTCATAATATTTTTAATCTTTACCTGTTTGTAAAGATAAAATGGTTATTCTCATTTTCACTTTTTTAATTGATCCCAACTCAGCATTTTCTCACGTATTTGGGGGATATCATCTTTCTTTTACAACATGGTTTTATTCATATTCTTCAATCATTCTTTTTTTTTTTTAATCAGGAATGCATCATTTTCTTGTTGATTGGTAAGAGCAGCTAAGGAACTCTTTCCTTACATTTGCGACTCAGTCGTCTGAGCTTCTCCAGATGTGGAATCTTCAGTTTTTTCTCTTTACCTACCTGCCCTTTTGGGGCAACGTTTTCCTTCCAGTGTCTGTCCATTGCATGAGGTGCCTTGCAAAAATGGAGGGCAGAGTTATTTGTTTCAGAACTTCCTTTGATGGGGGTCTTTGGTGGTTCTTTGCCGGATCCTACAAAAAAGACATTTAGCTCTGAATTTGGTTTTTAAAACAAAATAATCACTTTAATTTTAGGTCTGGCTGTGGCATCTTTCCCAATAGGACAGAGTGGGAAAGCCCAGGCTCTCGTCTCTCCAAAGTCCATTACAAGGAGTGGGACAGAATCTTATCCAGACTGCTGACTTCATAAGGTTGTCACTCAATGGGAAAGCTGCCTCAGTGGCCTCTAGAGTGGGGAAGAGGTGCCAAGATTAAAGACCTGACTTTATCTGCAGTAGCAGCAGTGTAAGTGCTTCATCTCTGTAGGGAAAAAACCAGATTTGCACATTTGAAAAACCAATAGAAACAGTTCCATAGTTTTAAATGATAGTGTAGAGTATCTGGTTTGCCCAAACTACGGCCATCCTGCCAGGAAAGCATTATGGGATGCTTGCTTTGACAGCATTGACATTCACCACACAATCATGAGCCAATTATTTTGCCTCTTTCCCCCTTTCTACTACAGAAAGATGTTTTAAACACAGGTCAACATGGCATCAATGAAATGCTTTCTAAGTTAAAGAAATAGAAGAGTAAATGTTGTTTGCATCAATATTATTCCTATCTAGTTTCTTCTCAACATTGAGAAAGCCCTTTACTAGACTTTCAACTGTGCCAGAAACCTGTCAAGGTTTCTAAAGCGAAATATCTGCGATATCACTTGTTCATCAGAGAAGCCAAGGGAACACTGGAAAACCTTGGCCTTTTGCCATGTGACAATCTCTTCTTCATTCAGACAACCATGGGCTTGAAAAGTTGTCACTGATGTCCCAAGAGCCTGGTACCTCAAGTACTGGGACATTCAAATTTTAAGTGACGTATATTACATTTAGGGAGAAGAAGGATGAAAATATGAAATGTTTCTCAAAGTTTTAGATCTTGCTCTTTGACCTGAGAAATTATGCATGCTTGCTTCCTTGTGCTATTTGTAGAAGAGTACAGGGGAGAAAAAGCCAGCTCTCAGAACTTCAAATGAGGAAGAAAAAGTTGCAGTCAGAGGCTGCTACTGACAATCATTCCCAGTTATAAACAAAGAGGTCAGGTCCACCAGCCTAAGAAAGAAGGGACCTCGCAAAGCATGACTGAAAATGAACCTCTCTGTAAATGTCCCTTTGGAATGCAAGAATCTTCACTAACTGCTCTTCTAAAACAAAAAGAAAGAAACCCCACTAGCAAAACCAATAGATCTGATTAATGCCTCGTGTTAAGTAGAAAATAAAATGGCCTTTCTTGTAAAATTATTTTGGCTAATATCTGTCTCTTGGATTTCTGAATGTCACACAATGTCATACATTTTTTTAAAAATCAATAAATTAAGTTCCTAGAAAGAAAAAGGGAGCCCCTAATTTTACCCAGAAAATCTTCCAAAAACAATCAGCATCAAAACTGTCCCTCAATTACAATGAGACACAAAAGATTTCTTTCAGAAGATAGTCATAACAATGACCTTTTTTACAATCCTTTATCTCCTACTGCTTCCTTTCTCAGTTACTAAATACTTTCAGTATTAACACCTGTCCTTACATGGGGATTTCATTGGTTTGATAAAATCTGGGCTCCCTTTCAATCTGCAGAACTGCAATGTATCATCGTGTCTAATGTCATTGAAAAGAGTTGCACTTCTATTAATATTTGTCTTAATAAATATACTGATAGTCAAATAATTATGTTGCCTAGGATTCTCAAAGGAAAGAATGGGAATTGCATCCACAGATGATAGGTGACAAATTTTGCTTCTGAAGGATGGGAATGAAAATGGCTGTGCCCAAATGAGAATTACATATTTCAGAAAGAGAGTTGTGTTCAGGCCCTGACAGGTTGATCGTGGATCCTGCCCATTACACTGGTGGTTTGGAGCCTACTCCCCCATCGCTGCCCCATCATAGCCATCAGACTGTCTCTCACTCTCCTTTCCTTCCCTTTTCTTCTCTTTCCCTTCTACTCTTGGTGGTTCTTCTTTCTTCCTCCTCTTCCTCCTCCTACTCTTCTGTCTCCTTCTCCTCTCTTCTCTCTTTCTCTCTTTGCCTCTCCCCCTCCATTGGTCCTCCCTGCCTCTCTCTTGCTTCCTTTCTCTTCCTCTCATCCTCTCCTGATTCTTTTTCTTCAATTTCACATCTGACTACTCCATTATTGACGTATAATTTTTTTCTGACTCTGTATACCAGGAACCTTACCAGTCATTAAAATTCTATACTTTGCAAACAAAAATGCATATATGTGTGTGTATACATATACATATATACATATACTTTACATACAATCTTTACAAAAGTAATTAACCAATGCAAGTCTCAAAAACATTAAAATTCAACTAAATGTGGCCTGAGAACTGCAACCTAACTTGGGATGTAAACTAACTGAAAGTCTAACTTCTCTTCCAATCACAGAAGGTGAGCTTCATTCAATCACAGGCAGTAAACTGATCAGACCACGTGCAAATAAGGCTAACTGAGCTGTAGCAAATCAGGCCAGCTCCTACCGCACTTCCGATCCTGGTCCATCAATGCTTCCCACCCCAACATGGCAGTGTGGTTATCTGGTTGCCTATTGGCCAATGGTTCCTTGCACAATTAACTCTTAAATTTAATTTGTGTAAACTTTTTTTTTTGTTTAACACATACAGTACTTTCTTTCGTTTTTGTGTCATTTCTCCCCACCTTGGAAATTTCTTACTCAAAGGTAGAAAAAGAAGATTTGACTAGATGTGGCACTCCTTAGTTCTACAAGACAAAGGTTCTCTCAGGAATATATCCTTTATTCACATTGTAAAACTGGGCTGTGGCATTTTATTCACCTGGAGTCAAGGTATCTTTCTCAGGCGTTGTCTTCAGCACTGATCCAGAAGCTTCTGGGAGGTAGGTGATTGACTCCTCTTCCCCAAAGGAATCAGCGGACAGAGCCCTAGTTTGACTTTGCCGCCACCTTGTGGTAATGGGACTACTCGCAACAGGAACCTCCGCGGAGAGCCTCTTCGCAAAGTTGCTCTTAAAGTCAAAATATGTAGCACTAACTGAATCAAATACCTGTTTAACAATAAAAACAGCTGTAACTCCAGTGCCCTCAGTGATGCAAGGGTAAAAATTCCTTAGAAGAGAATTACAAATAACTCATCTAGTACACCACCAATAAAATATACATAATGAGATTTTTTAATTTTTGTAACCTCGATGTTATTTTTTATATTTATATATTTTTGTATATAGTTATACATAAATATATTTTATAGTTATATATTATTTAAACATAAAAAGTTATATTTTATATATTTACATTTATATATAAAACATGTTTTTATGTTCATAAAACATTATATTTTATATGTATTTATAAAATGTTACATTTTTATATATTTATGTGTAAAATGTTACATTTTTCTACATTTATGTGCAAAATATGTTGTATTTTTATGTGAAATATATTATTTTATATGTAAAATAAATATATATTTTTTTCTATCTAAAAAACACTAAAATGCCACTACATACTTAAAGCCTCTGCTCAAGGGTCAATAGGTATACCAAAGTAGTTTAGGAAGTAATTATATTTAGAAATATTACCATTACATATCAGTATAAAATATGATATATGAAATAACACTATGTACTGAACATGCAAGATGTTTGTATGAAATTATAAAATTTCAAATCTGGATATAAACAGCAATTTTCTAGTCCAACCCCTTTATTTCATAGTTGGGGAAGCTGAGGCCTAAAGAAAGTAAATGATTTGTTCAATAGCTGTTCATCCCCTCTAAGAAACGCCAGGAGTTTGATATTTATAGAGCCTGTAGTAGTGAACCATGCCATGTAGCCAAGTGAAATTAACAAACTGGAAATGAATTATCTTTTCACAAAATGACAGATAAGTTAGGTTAAAATCCTAGACATAAAGAGCTCTTATAGAAATTGACAAGTTTACCAACCCAATAGAAAAACTAGGGCATAGAACATAATAAGGCAATTCATAAGAGAGATATATAAATGTCCAAAAGATATTTAACCTCACTTGCAATCAAAGAAATGCATATTCAAAACAGCAATGAGATGTTAGCAATAATTTTTTATGACAATCCCAGGCGTTGAAGGTGCCAAAAATAAACACTGGTATACACTCCTTGTGGGGGTTAAATTACTATCTGGAAAGAACTTTTGGACAATGTGCATCAAAAGCCTTCAAATATGTGCATAACTTCTACTGACCCAGCATTGTCACCTCTAAGAACTTAAAAAAGAAATCAGCCAGCCGTGGTGGCTCATGCCTGTATTCATAGCTCTTTGGGAGGCTGAGGCAGGCAGATTGCTTGAGCCCAGGTGTTCCAGACCAGCCTGGGCAATAAGGCGAAACCCTGTCTCTACAAAAAATATAAGAATGCACGTGGTGGTGTGCAACTGTAGTCCCAGCTACTTGATGGGGCTGAGGCAGGTGGATTGCTTGCTGCAGTAAGCCACGTTGGCTCCACTGTACTTCAGCCTGGGTGACAAAGTCAGACCAAAAAAAAAAAAAAAAGGAAGGAAGGAAGGGAGGGAGGGAGAGATCTAAGATATGAGCCAAGATGGAGAAAACACCTGGCATTTACTGAGTGTGTACTATATATGAGCCCATATGTAAAGGGCTTTACACATGTTCGTATTTAATACTAAGAAACATCTGTGAAGCAGATGTTATTTATGCCCATTTTATCAATGAAGAAACTGAGGCTTAGAGATCAAGTGAATTGCCCAAGACTACACAGTAAGTGAAGATACCACACCCAAGGCTCACCTGTCTGACCCGAGTCCAGGCTCTTAACTGAGAACATAAAGGTGCATACTACATTTCACATGTTTGTAAGGACAAAAACATGTGAGACAGAGACTAAATGTTTACCAATGGAGAACTGACTAGGCAAACTAACTGGACATCTCTAAGAGGCACTGCTCTGCTGCCATCAGAAATGACATACATTAGGGAAATGTAAACTAAACCACACCAAAGCACCACTTCACCCCCAAAGGATGGCTAGATTTTTTAAATGGAAACTATAAAGTACTGGTAAGGATGCAAAGAAACTGGAAGCTCTGTACATTGCAAGTGTAGAGAATGTGAAAAGATGCAGTCACTGTGGAAGATTAGTTTGGCGCTCCCTCAAAAAGGTAAATCTATAACCCAGCAAGTCCATTCGTAGGTATATGTACTCAAACTCAAATTCATGTGCACATACGTTCATGGTAGTACTACTCACAATAAGAAGGTGCAGACAGCCCAAATGCCCATCAACTGATAAATGGTAAACAAATTGTGGAACGGATGTACATATGTAAGGGAATGTCACTCCCAAGAGGAATGAGTTGCTGATACACGTCATAATGTGCATAAACCTTGAAAGCATTATGCTAAGTGAAAGAAGCCAGACAGGCAAGGTCACGTATTATATGATTCCATCTATATGAAATAGCCACAGGAAATTCCATAGAGAGAGAACACAGATTGGTCATTGTCAGGGATTAGGGGAGGAGGAAATGAGGAGCAATTACTTAATGGCTATGGAGTTTTCCTTTGAGGTGAAAATATTTTGTAACAAGAGAGAAGTGGTAGTTCTGTAACAATGGGAATGCTCTAAAGACTACTAAATTGGCGACTTCAAAGGTTATTTTTAATATATGAATTTCACTTCAATAAATCTTTTTTAAAATGGTAACATAGGATAATAGTGAATAAAACATGCAAATGCTTACAATATATTGCCAGCTGTAAAACAGTGACTATAAAACCGTATTCCAATACAGTCCCACCTCCTAGATATAAATGAAAAATAGGAAGGGAATATGCTATCATGTTGAAGCAGTAAGCATTGGTTCAGTTTGGGTTTCTTACTAAGCATGTGCGAGGGTGCTGGCCCATCCTGTCTGCAGCCCTCAGGGGGCAAGGCCAGCTCTCCCTCCACTGCTGCTCTGTGCTCTCCCCACCCACTGACCAAAGAGAACGTCTTTCCCAGGAGACAAGAGTCAAGAGGTTGAGGCCACAGCTGTTGTAAAGAGTGCTGTTGGGGGTCAGTTTCTCTGCCTTGTAGTTGTTCTTGGTTTTTTAGTAGGAATGGGAAAGACTAAAAGAGCCTGCCCATGTCGATTGGGCATCTCAATCTCAGAAGCCTATACTAGGGGACAGCAGGTAAGGTGATGAGTGATGCCAGCAGGGATGAGAAGTGTGGCCCACTCCAGCCTTCTTTTTTGTTTTGCTTTGTTATTTTTTTTTTTTTTAATTTTTTATTGGATTATAGGTTTTGGGGTACATGAGCAGAGCATGCAAGACAGTTGCGTAGGTACACACATGGCAGTGTGCTTTGCTTTTCTTCTCCCCTTCACCTACATTTGGCATTTCTCCCCAGGCTATCCCTCCCCACCACCCCTCCCACTGGCCCTCCCCTTTTCCCCCCAATAGACCCCAGTGTTTAGTACTCCCCTTTCTGTGTCCATGTGTTCTCATTTTTCATCACCCACCTATGAGTGAGAATATGAGGTGTTTCATTTTCTGTTCTTGTGTCAGTTTGCTGAGGATGATGTTCTCCAGATTCATCCATGTCCCTACAAACGACACGAACTCATCATTTCTGATTGCTGCATAATATTCCATGGTGTATATGTGCCACATTTTTCCAATCCAGTCTATTATCAATGGGCATTTGGGTTGATTCCAGGTCTTTGCTATTGTAAACAGTGCTGCAATGAACATTCGTGTACATGTGTCCTTATAGTAGAACGATTTATAGTCTTTTGGATATATACCCAGTAATGGGATTGCTGGGTCAAATGGAATTTCTATTTCTAAGGCCTTGAGGAATCGCCACACTGTCTTCCACAATGGTTGAACTAATTTACACTCCCACCAACAGTGTAAAAGTGTTCCTTTTTCTCCACATCCTCTCCAGCATCTGTTGTCTCCAGATTTTTTAATGATCGCCATTCTAACTGGCGTGAGATGGTATCTCAATGTGGTTTTGATTTGCATCTCTCTGATGACCAGTGACGATGAGCATTTTTTCATGATTGTTGGCCTCATATATTCTTCTTTCGTAAAGTATCTGTTCATATCCTTTGCCCACTTTTGAATGGGCTTGTTTGTTTTTTTCCTGTAAATCTGCTTGAGTTGTTTGTAAATTCTGGATATCAGCCCTTTGTCAGATGGGTAGACTGCGAAAATTTTTTCCCATTCTGTTGGTTGCCGATCCACTCTAGTGACTGTTTCTTTTGCCGTGCAGAAGCTGTGGAGTTTCATTAGGTCCCATTTGTCTATTTTGGCTTTTGTTGCCAATGCTCTTGGTGTTTTGTTCATGAAGTCCTTGCCTACTCCTATGTCCTGGATAGTTTTGCCTAGATTTCCTTCTAGGGTTTTTATGGTGCCAGGTCTTATGTTTAAGTCTTTAATCCATCTGGAGTTAATTTTAGTGTAAGGTGTCAGGAAGGGGTCCAGTTTCTGCTTTCTGCACATGGCTAGCCAGTTTTCCCAACACCATTTGTTAAACATGGAATCCTTGCCCCATTGCTTGTTTTTGTCAGGTTTATCAAAGATTGTATAGTTGTATGTATGTTGTGGTGCCTCCGGTGCCTCCGTTTTGTTCCATTGGTCTATATCTCTGTTTTGGTACCAGTACCATGCTGTTTTGATTACTGTAGCCTTGTAGTATAGTTTGAAATCTGGTAGTGTGATGCCCCCCGCTGTGTTCTTTTTGCTTAGAATTGACTTGGCTATGCGGGCTCTCTTTTGGTTCCATATGAAGTTCATGGTGGTTTTTTCCAGTTCTGTGAAGAAAGTCAGTGGTAGCTTGATGGGGATAGCGTTGATTCTGTAAATTACTTTGGGCAGTATAGCCATTTTCACGATATTAATTCTTCCTAACCATGAACATGGAATGTTTCTCCATCTGTTTGTGTCCTCTCTGATTTCGTTGAGCAGTGGTTTGTAGTTCTCCTTGAAGAGGTCCCTTACGTTCCTTGTGAGTTGTATTCCAAGGTATTTTATTCTTTTTGTAGCAATTGCGAATGGCAGT